CGTGCTGGTCGGGGGCCAAACAGGCCCTGAGAAGGTCGTGGTGGTCCTTCTTCTGTCGAATCCGCGTCGGTATCAGGTTCAGAGGCGGAGCCACCTGCTTGTTCCTGTTCCGGTCCAATCGGCCCTTTGTTGGTCTTGTAATCACCCTGAACAATACAAGATCGCCATAGAGTCTTGTTCACTCCCAGCAGGATGTTATGCATGGCGTCAAAAACACCTGCTACCGATGTCACTAGGTAAGGTAGTAAATATAAGGCGCTCAGGTGGCCCGGTGAAGGCCTGTTCTCTGGCAGATTGGCCACCTTTTGTGCAGCCATACGAGTGAACGGTACTCGTCGGTGAACGGGGGGTATTCGGGCTCCAATCTCGCGTGGTTGCGACCGATGTGTCTCCCGTCCGGCTTCGTACAGAACATGCAAAGCGTCTTGACGCTGATCATGCTCCAAACGGGCCTTTTCTACGGCTGCTGCAACCCTAGATTCACTCTCCAAATAGTCTTGAGCTTGTTTGGTCGAATCCCTACGTTCACCAACTGTAATGTGAGCCTAGGTCAGCGCGCTTTGGCTACTGAAATTGGTCCGAGTCAAACTGACCTTTACCAGCCGCAAAACCGTCCTCATTGAGGTTACAATGGGTGCAAATGTGGTCTTTCGACGTTTGCCCAGTAAAGCCAGCGAGAGACGTAAAAGCAGGGCGGTCGCAGCTGATTACGGCCAGATAAAGGCGACATCGCACTCCGTTTGGATGCTTGGGTGTTCGAAGAAGAGGTGGATTTTCCCAAGCTCTTCGAAGTTCCATCACCAGGGGCAACATCAACTTCCACAGGTGGTCTTTGCCGGGTTCTTTTGGGCCTGTTAAACGTGTCTTTGAGCATGGTTTGGCCAAATTGGCGTGACAAGACTGGACGCTTACCAGGAGTCAGACCGCAACACATGACCATGGCTTGAAGACCCCTCATTGACTGCGGAAGATTGCCCATTTGGAGTAAGATTGGACCAACCGAATAGCCAGGCCCATGCGATGAGGATCTTGCATTGAGCCAATCAAGCGACAGGTTCAGAAATATCTCTTGAACCCCCTCAATCGGGCCTTGATCGACCCTGTTTCCCTCAGGATCGAGCAGCGAATGCAGATGTGTTCCATCGGTTTGGTCGCGGTACACTTTTGTAGCAGGGTAGTCGCGAGCCAACAACTCGGAGTCGATCTGGTGTCGTTGACGCCAGTTAAATGCCAGATCTTCTACTCCAGGATACGCTAATAGCCTTTCTATTTCGCTTATCAAAGGGATCCGAGCAAAAGTAGCAGGGACCATCTGGTATTAGGGGGAAGGACTAACAGTCTACGCGGGGCTAGGTCTAAGGGTAATGGTGTAATAACGGATGAAGTATATACATACAATGAGCCTATTATAATAAGCACCTATAGGAGATGTAAAAGTAGACCCCTGTGGGGATGTCGAGAGGTGTCTCCGAGGGGACCTCCGAGGGGGTCTCTCGCGGGAGTAGCGACGCGTCACGTGACGGCTATAACAGGATCCCCCCCCTAGGTCATCGTCCCGATGACCAACTCCGAAAATGAAAAACAACCGAAACCCCCGAAGGGGTGTGACAAAAACCTGCCCAGCTGGGCTCTACCCTCGAAGAAGAGATGTCGAGGCGAAGGGGGGTGACTCCCAAAAGGAAACGCTCGGGCTGAGCAACCGTAAAACCCCGAGGGGGAAGAGAAAAGAATCCACGCGATGGAGGGGAGGTATCGTAACCCCGAACGACCCGTAGAAGACGTAGCCGACCCGATCCCAAGAGACGTAGGAAACACCCGGACTGGGCACCATAAAAGACTCGGACTGAGCCACCGTAAAAGAATCCCGGACTGGGTGCCATACCGACATGTAGTCGGGTAAGGGGGATAGTGATCCCCTTGAAGAAACGCTCGGACTGAGCAGCCGTAAAGAAAAACACCTCGGACTGAGGGACCATCAATAAATGTAATAAACCCGGCCTGGGTACCATGAAACAAGAGAAGAACAAGAGACACCGGCGCGTCTAGTTGGGGGTCCACAGTGGGACGTCGTCGTACGCAGAGAGGTCGTACGCAGCCCCGGCTGACGCAGCGGAAGAGGAGGGTTGGAGGGTGGCGCCGGCAACCTGCATAGAATGCCTCTGCTTGGCTGCCTTGATCCAGGCTGGGGCAGATTCGGGAGGTGCCCGGGGATTCGGGCACTGGTTCGCGAAATGTCCCATCTGGTAGCACTTGAAGCAGGGGACGGCGGGGTTAGGTTGCCTGGCGGCCGAAAGATCCATGGGACCACCTTGGTCCACGGGAGGAGGAGGAAGAGAAGAAGGAACCGGGGGAGGTCCCGGGGCGAAAGGGAAAGGAGCTGCCATCTCGGCAGGCTGAAAAGTGGGTGCGCGGGGAGTTTCCCGGCGAGGTCGTTCAGCGGGCATGGCGGGTCGATCGTACCGAGCGGCCAAGTTCTGGATGTCCAAGAGGGACATCTCCGTGTACCCATCATGGGCACGAACCGACAGCTCAACATCCGACCGGAGTCCATGACGAAAGACTCCCCGGAGAGCGGCGTTGTTCCATCCCGGCATCAGACCCACAAGGGAGTTGAACCTCGCGGTGTACTCGCCGACCGAGGTGTTCCCTTGTCGCAACCCTAAGAGTTCCCCTTCGGCGAGGTACTCTCGGGATGCTAACCCAAAAGAAGTAAGAAAGAGAGTCCGGAAGACATCCCAGGTGCACTGTTGTGCAGCCTCCGGGGACGTGTACGACCGGGCCCATAAAGCGGCGCGACCCTGAAGGTGGGTCGACGCGAAGATAATCTTGATCCGATCCAAAGAGTAGACCGCTGGGGCGGTCTCGAAGTGCATCTCGCACTGATGAATGAAGGTGGTGGCCTTCTCCCGTTTGTCCGGGGTATCGGTCCCATCAAAGGGTCCCGGCGGGGCCAGCCGAAAGGGGTTCGAACCCTGACCGCCGACAGGCTGCTGCTGGCTCTGAGCAAAAAGCGTCATGGCCTGCGCCATCTGTCGGAGTGCCTCCTCCATAGGAGAAGGTGCGGGGGGAGGAACCGGAGGAGAGGGAATATGGCCGTCGTCGGACATGATAAAAGGAGTGTCGAAAGGAGGGTGAAAAAGGACGTGGAAAAAGGAAGTGACGAGGGAAGAAAAATTCGCTAGCCGGGGTAGAAGAGGATGATCCGTTATTCTATTAGGGGGAAGGACTAACAGTCTACGCGGGGCTAGGTCTAAGGGTAATGGTGTAATAACGGATGAAGTATATACATACAATGAGCCTATTATAATAAGCACCTATAGGAGATGTAAAAGTAGACCCCTGTGGGGATGTCGAGAGGTGTCTCCGAGGGGACCTCCGAGGGGGTCTCTCGCGGGAGTAGCGACGCGTCACGTGACGGCTATAACATCTGGTCAGCAGTGGGTGCTGATGCCGTCCAATCGAGGCCACATTTAGGGCACTTGTCGATACCGTTCAAAGCACCTGAAGAAGCGGAAAAGTTGGTGTTTTCGTAGATGACCTCTTGACAGTCTCGATTCGGGCAAACAGGGTGTGCGATTGTAGGCAGATCGATGCCCATTCGTTTGCGCGCCGTCCTGAGGGTTTGGGCAGGGGAATCGCTGATGATCTGCTCGTCGGGAACATTCCTTCTGGCCTTAGTCAGGGTCATATCGACCACGGCAAACATCGCCTTGAGAGCGTACTCTGCTTTGTCTCTTGGTACCCCCACAGCATCGAGAGAGAGAACGGTCGTGTAGATGAACCTTTCAACGAAAGGCAAATCGGCCGTTTGTTGATCACTGATCAGGCCAGATACTGGCCCGTTTAGGGGCCGGTCCCGTAAGACCTGAGGTATCTCTTCCGGCCAGAGGTTGATGAAGTCATGCAGACCTGGAGCAATGTGCAAGGGGTTGCCGACGTGGCCAGTTTGAGGGGCGACTGGAGGTTGTTCTTCTTCCCAAGGATTGCCATCCTCTTCCTCTTCGTTGAATCCCCGGAACAGATCGGCCAGAGATGTGTTCTCAAGATCAATGATCGGGCTATTATGAGGCTCCAATGAGGCAGAATCGGCAACCGGTTCAGGCAAGGGGGGGGGCGGATTGGGCTGGGCTATTTCCATATCTCTCGTCCGTTTGTACTCCAGTGCTTCAATCCGGGTCCATTCGGCCTCCATATGGGCATAGTAAGTGCGCCCTTTAATCCTGGCACCTAGAGGGCCACATTTGGCACAGTAGCATCTACCCCAAAGAGTTTTGGGCTGTTCGGTGGAGTCAATAAGAGCAGATCAGACACACATTGATGGGTGATTGACATACGACTTGCAGACTGATTTGATCAAGTCCCATCGACAGTGGGTAGCGAGTAGAGAAGTTCGGGGCCATGGCGGGATCCTTGCTCATTGTGGTGTGATTGGGTAGCGTTTGAAGGCGATTTATAGATTTATAGAGTGACAAAGACAAGTGACGATGGCAATATAGCACTTGCAGGTATATGAGGCATGTAGAATGACATTCCACAGTTCGATGAGCCCGATAAGGACCTGATCAGGGCGTCACTGACTGCTGACGTAAGGCAGAATGCTAAACGTACTCCAAACGGGCCTCAAAGTTTGCGTGTAAAATTCTCGAAAAAGCCCAAATCTCGCGGAGTCTTCCAAATCGACAAACGGGGGTCAATCGGGCCAAACGACGCGTCTAATCGGACCTCTTGCCCTCCTGTGTATCCGGACCGACGATCCCGCTTCGCTCCTCGCGAAAAAAGCGTGACGTCAGAAAACGATCGACATCACACAATCACCACAAGCTTGATACAACTACTTTATACTGTGCACACGGTGATACTACAACGAAGGAGATACTCTACAGCGCTCGAGCTGTTCTTGGACACCTCCTCGCGATTCTGCCACGAATCTGAACGACTGACAGCTTGTAGACGTTGTTCCTTTGGGTCACACTGACGCCTGCCTTTGCCAAGACCATCGAGATAGGCGCCCACGCGTGATCGTGTCCTAATTCCTGATACGATCGTCATCCCGCAAACACCTGACATGGTCGACCTCGTCCCAGGTCATGGGCAAGGCTTTCTCGTTCTGCGGAAGAGTCAGACGATTCCAGAGTCCAGCTCCGATGCGGCGATGAGCTTCGCGCGAGGGGTGGAAGCAGTCAATCGGCGAAAGAGCTATCGTCGGGAAGTCTGCTAGGGACAAGAATGTTCCGGGTTGCCTGTAATCAAATGATGCGGATGGCTCAGTTGTGATCTGGAGGACGTTTTCAACCTATCCTTACCAGATGACCATAAAGTCTCCGCGGTTCTCGGCATTCAGTTCCGCGACGACCACCTGCAATGCCTGGTTGTATTCCTCGCCCAGGGCATCCATCTTCTTTCTGGACGCATCCCCTAGAGGACCGGGAGCCCAGGCACATTGACATTCGATCGGCAGGGTCGGAAAGATGGGTGGCAACCTCAACGGCGTGCAGGGAGGTTGTTGTCGGGACAAGTTGTAGATCGAGGAGACTTGGAACAGGCCGACTGTGCATAAAAGTCAATGTTAATGAAGCAGGCCAGGAGGACAGCTTCGACTTTCCAACTTACCCAAATCGATCACGAGATTGGCTGCGACCACCAAGCGAACATCCGTCAGCGCAACAACTAAATGCCAACCACAACGTGAACCTCACGGATGTTATCTCTCGCAGCAACGATCGCCTTCTTCACATTGTCAGCAAATTCTTCAGGGCTTCCAGGTCCACCGACTGTAGAGTTACCAGCGAGGCAATAGTCGCACTAAGGAACTGATACTGATCAGTATCTTGAATAGTGGGACAGGCCTAGTCACCTACTGCTCACCACATCGTTGGCCCCGATACTCAGTGTCATCAGCTTCCATTCGCCCGTTTCCACGCCAACTTCATTCAAGCTCGGCAGGATATAGTCTTCCACTTGGCTCAAGAGGTCTTTCGCTTTGGCTCCAGATTTGGCGGCGTTGAGACCGTCATTCGCAGGCGTGTGACCGAAAGCTGGCAAGAGCGCGGAAGATCGTTAGCTATAATTGTAGCTCGCCCATTATGGGGCGACATTTACCTTTGCTCAAGACAGGAGGTCGATGATGCCCGTAACTCTGTCCCTTAAGATCCGGGTTGTAATACCGAATGTTCTGTTGGAAAGGTAATCCACGCTGAGATCGGTGGACGATTAGGAGGTACCTTGTAAGCAGGACTCACATTCGCCAACGTCACAGCATCTGCATCCCCGCCGGTGGAAAAGCTCACACCTCGATACTCTTCAAAGCCTTTGAAGCCGGGAAAGAAATGTTGGTCCGCTTCTCGAGACTTCATCGATGGGGAAAGGTCGTCGCTAGCAGGTCGTGCGAATAGGCCGGCGGTGATGCTATCGCCTATCGCCATGACTACAGAGATTTCATCTGGGCGACTAGAATACCAGGCATCAGGTCATACCACGTTTTGACGAAATACACTGGCCTCTTAGATCATACTGACAGATCTTCAGCCTTTTTGGCAAGCGGTTTAGCGGATAGTCCGGGACAGTCTCCAAGTGCCTCTCCTCGTACTTCAGGTTGATGTGGTAGAGCGGCGATGGCCGAAAAGGCGGCGGCGAGCGAGGCCAGTAACAGGGAGCGCATGCTTGTCAGGTTGGTAATACCCCACAGGTGAGAGTTTCTGTATGTCTGTCAACGATCACCAAGCTACGGAATGTGGAGATCGAACGGTATACAGCTAAAGGTTTCTGAATTTCTGACGAGGAAGTTGCGAGGTGCGAGTCGCTCAACCAGAACGATCGGACGTCAGCGACAAACACAACATTGGATGCGGAAGCAAAATAGATTGCTCGATCGTATGTCTCGATCTGCCCGATCACCTAAAAGTCATACAACTCGGGTTTATCGTGTTGCATAAACGCCACCTTTCTTCGCTCCTTCTTTGGCTTAGGGGATGCTTCGTCGTTCGGAGATCTCGTCGAGCTTACTGCGCCCTCGGTTTCCAGCGAGATGTCTATCGCCGCAAACCTCGCTCGAGGCTTCTCTAGCGCTTCGTCCGGCTTCTCGGCCACCGCATCTGTCGATACCTTCTCAACCCCACCTACAACACCCTCAATATCTCCTCCGCCATGAGAACATCCCGATCCATGTACATGTCCTCCCGTTCCACCGCCACCCGCTGTCAAGCTCTTCATCGTCGCTGGAGGCTCGGTCCTCCTCTCACCGACACCCCCTTCGACACCGAGATGTAGGGTCTCGACGACGAACCTCTTGCGCTTCAGACGGAAACTGAGATTGTTCTGACCCGTGCTGCCAGCGCCCAGTCCGAGCAGGGTGGAGTGCTTGTAAGAAGGAGCCAAGACGGTTTGTAGAGTTGGGAAAGACCGGACGTGGACCAGTCCGTGAGAATGGGGGAACGAATGGACGAGGCCAGGGTCCGCTGCGATTCGAGAGGTTGATAAGCACAATTGCATTCTGCTGTTGAAGAGAGGCCGGAACTGCCGCTTACAGGCAAATCCTTGCAGCTCGACACAGGCGTCGCTAACGCTCGCGACACTTTTCAACCAAGCGTCATCCGTCATCCCGGGACCGTTGACTGCCCGACCTTTCCCCTTGCCAACGGCTGGAGCATGGGATGATAGCTGAGCCGGGAACGTTATCAGGGCCGAGGCTGGTGCCGGAGCAGATGCTTGTCCTGGGGCGATCCGGAGAAGATGTCGAAGCGAGTGCAAGAATCGGTGGATCGCCTGTCCAAGAAGAAACGTATTGCTTTGAGCTCGACCCTTCCGAAGATCCACAAATGACGAAATTGGTACTCACGGCTGATGTGGCGGCATCTCCCCATTCAGGCCCACCCAATTCGTGGACAATCACTCGGAGCACCTTTTTTCGAGGTTGACCGTTGGTATACAGCTTGCCCCGCAATTTGTCCAGGATATCTCGAAACAGTTTATATGGGGAGGCAGCTGATACCATCTCGTCCAGAGGCAAGAGCTCGAGCTGACTCGAAGCGTAGACGTCCGAGATCACCGTTCGAGGGATCGGGGTCATCAAGTTGAGGGGAAGATGAAAGGTAGCTGACGTTATGGGCATGGTCAGCGCGCTTGCTCGCTATGATTCGGTCCAAACGTCATGTCCCTTACTCACAGCTTGAGCCCGCTCGGGACGAAACGGACGTCTCAAACTTTTTCATGTTATCGTACCTCCAAGCGATCCTCGTCCTGTTACCCGAATCGAGATCGTCCGCCAAACCTTCTGCATCACTATCATCCCCGTCCGCGTTCCCCGGATCTTTCGCGTTGGCATCCATCACGGCAACCCGTTTCGCACTCTCCTCCATCCACATGCATCCTTTGACGAGCTCTTCCAGGTCCTCCTTGTCGTTCCCACCGATGACGATGACGTCTTGACCGAGTGCCAGTCCTTCAGCGATATAGTACCGGGCGATGAGCTTGCCCCATGCTGATTGGACATCGGGGGCGAGGATACTAAGGATGCTGTTCAAGGGTTGCCCGGATCCGAGGATGTCGTCCAAGGAGGGTATCCCGGTAGATAGGATGGGTAAGGCGCTCGCCGAGGGGGACGGTGCGGTACCCGCGGGCAAGGGCGTGTTGTTGCTCGGAGCTCGTCTCGTGAATACCGACGGCATGGCTAAGAGATTTCGACGAGGCAAATGATTATTGTGAGAGTCGACAACGCTCAAGGGCAGGTGCTCGAGGTAGCAGATAAGATATACATGACACCGCCCAGAGACGATCACAATCGACCTCGGGCAAGGTCGATTTTTGAGAACGCATAGCCCGAAAACGCATAAATTGGCAATCGACCCGGAGCGTCCTTGTATGTTTCAGGTTTGCAGCATCGAATCTGCGCATTTGCTCAGGTTCAGCTAGAGACGCCCTGGAGCGAATCGGGCTGCTTTAACGGTGGAGAAACAGTTACAGATTTGAAGAGGGAAATCGGATTTTTTCCACCGGTGATGGCGACCAAAGGTATTGGTCCTGTCTACACCGTAGCGATGACCTCGGTTGATGACATTATTATTGTCATCGCTCAAACCTCCCGGCAAAGACCTTGACTATCTTTGGGTCTTCGAGGCAAGCGAGATTCCTGCGGAGTTGAAATGTCTATGTTTTCGCCAGACCAAGGGCCGGATGAGAGGGCCTTCCCTCACGAGATTATTATTGAGCTTGACACGCCGCATCCCGTCAGGGCCGACCGAGTCCCCATCCTTCTTGCCTTTGTTGAGAATACACTAGGGACGTTCTTGACGATTCACTGCAGTTTGTACGATCTTGTGATCGCCCCAAGACCCCTCATCTCGGCTGAGATATGGGTGCGTGCGTCCGTCCTAACGTCCTCTGGCATCGTCCATCGTCCTGCAAGTGATGGCTGCGACCACGTCGGCGGTTTGCTCTGTCGGGATGACAAGATCGAAACCTTCGCCGAGCTCATTATTGAACGTGTCGGGCATGTGACTCCCACTGAACAGATCGAGGATACAAATAGAAAAAAAAAAACACAGGGTCGACGAAGGAAATTTTGCACGTCTTTCATCATGGCTGACCCTCTTGGTTCGCTCCTGCAAGCACGATTGGTGCAATCGCGGGGGTCCTTCCTAAGACGATTCCTAATATCAGATGGTCAGCCTCGACCAATGCCGAGTACATCATTGGTCAACATCTTGCACAACAAGATCGTTCGGGTCCTGGATCAAAGATTGTTGTCGACGGGGATCAGAAGAACGACTCGCGCATATCGAGACCATTGTCGATCGCGTCGAGCGAATCAGAAGCGTCACATTGGCATCGAAATGAACGCAGAACCTGAATGTTTACGGTCATGCTACGCCATGGGCTATGAGTACTGTCATGGCCGTCGTCTCAAGCTTGCTCAGGTTGATCGACTGTTGCTACCTATTTTCGAGCTCAGCTTTGTACCGCACCGAGAAAAACACCCTTGGTTTCTTTCGTATTGATGTAAGGTTGCTGACAACTGCAACCTTCACGGACTGAGTGTTGCATGTGTTGTGAAGATCATTTGCTTTATACGAGGAGATCGCTTCTGCACGAGCAAGTTGTCCGAGTTGGTATGGGTACCTATCGTGTTTCATGTATCGACCGTGGATATGGGCGGAATCTCTCAAGAAAGGCCAGAGGCGAGAGTCGCGGCGATGAAACGTGATCGATCGATCGACCATCCACTCGTTGGAAGCGTTGCGAGATTCGGAAACTTGGTCCGTGCGCGACGATCACGACATTGGATTCCGAAATGATTCGGAGGGGTCGATCGGAAGCTTTTCCCCCTTCTGTTCTGGCCCTGGCTCACCGCCGGACCGGTGGCGGAGGGGGGTTACGTGATCCACTTTGTGTGTGTGGCGGGGGGCAAAAGCCAATCGTGATCGATCTAAAAAAGTAGAGACGAGTTCATAATTACCTGACCTCGAATCACTTGCCACCGACTATCCCTGACATTAAGACTTTGGTCTACGATCAAAGTTCCTTGTACAAACAATCCACACTCTCCCTCCTCCTCGTATACCCCCACAACGCAATAGTTGGAGGAGCCTAAAGCGGATCGTCTTGTTTGTGTAGTGTCGCAATCGTGAGTACTCTCTCGCCTCTCCTGCACCGGTCCGATCGTCCAACGAATATCGCACGTTCGGGTTCGGGTTTGAGGTGTACTTTCGCCTCGTCGCCATTCAAACCATGTCAAAGCTGATCATATCCTCATTCATCTGCATTTATTGTAGTAACGCCACAATTTGACGAGCCCATAACCCGTATCTAGTCTAGTCGCTCGTTCACCCCCACCCGAAAAACAAAACCCCCGACCTACCAAAACTATCTGAACGAACAACTAGCTCTTAAGATGCCCGCCGCATTTGAAGCCGTCTCCCAGATCGCCACCCTCCTCTCTGGCCACCTCGTCGTCTCCTCTTCCCTCCCTTACACCAACGCCGCTGCCTCGTCCTCAACGGCATGCAAGGTCACCAAGCTCTTCCCTCACGTCGACCCTTCCAGCCTCGTCCAATCCGCGGACAAGTCGAGCCTGACCACCCTCCTCCTCTCTTCATCCCCGAGCTCGCTCTCTTCCCTCCTCCCATCCCTGCATAAACTCGCTTCGACCCCGCTCGTCGTCCACCTCGCCCTGAACCGAGGATCAGACCTCGGTCCGGTCCTCGCGCTTCGGGGTTCAGGGTGGGTGGTCTTGAAGAGCGAGACGGACGTCGAGGCTGCGGACGGTGCTCTGTTGGCTAGCAAGCTCGCCAAAGAGGCCGGAAAGGCCGTCTTGCACGTCTACGCTGCCGAGGTCGAGAAGGTCGCTTCGAACGGGAACGGACATGCCAACGGCAACGGACACGTCAATGGCGAGTCCAAGTCGACTTTGCCCGCTTCGGAAGAGATCGTCGAGTTCTTCCAAGCTCAGCCTATCGACCTCGGTGCGGGCGCTTCGGCTTCCCACGCTTCGATCATTCCTCACGGTCAACACTTGAACGACGTCCCTCAGTCCGATGTGGACCTGTTCACCGCTTACGAGGCAGCGGCTCTGGCCACCCTCAAGTTGACCCGGAGGGCACAGAAGCCGTTCCACTACACCGCTCCCAAGAACGGGGACGCCGAGGCCGAGGTGGCGGTCGTCGTGTTCGGTATGCAGACGGATGACGTCGTCCACCTGATTCAGGGAGCGAACAGCAACGTCGGCGTCCTCCAGATCAGCCTCCTGAGACCTCTCGCCCCGGGTCGATTACTGGGTTCTCTGCCAGGGTCGGTGAAAAAGGTCGTCGTCCTCGAACAGGCGTTTACGAAATCCACCCGATGGGGAGCCGTCTTCCTCGACGTGCTCAGCGCCTTGCAAGCCAGGTCCGAGGTCGATGAGAACGCCGAGATGCCCCAAGTCTTTGGATGCACCCTCGGGCAACTCGACGGCGCTCAGGGACTGGGTGGAAAGTTGGCCAGCGTCTTGAACGGGGATGCCGACGTCCTCGGTTCGATCCCCACGCAGGCCGCTTTGCAAGCTCCTCATGTGCCCCAGGTCGAAGAGGTCTACACCAACATTCTCGACCAGACCTTCCCCGGTCGACTGGAGATTGCCAACTCTCCGTCTCTGGTCCCCTCGCTCGGCGAGCTGGCCACCAGGCCGGAGTACGCCTTCGGTAAAGTCTCGGCGTTGTTGGACGAACGGGACGCTCTAGCCGAGGCCGTCAAGGGCTTCTTGAAGGAGAGCACCACTTCGGAAGAACTGCACAAGGTCGCTGCGAGGTGGTTGGTAGGCAAAGACGGCAAGGACGGGAAAAAGGTGGAAAAGCTCGGTGAAGATCTCGTCACCCAGCTCCAGGCTGCCAAGGACGGTTCGGCTCACGTCAAGAAGGCTTTGGAACTCAAGAACCACGTCAAGCCCGTCTCTCGATGGATCATTGGGTCTGACGCTTGGTCATACGACTTGGGCTCGTCTGGTATCCACCACGCCATCGCCTCGGGCAAGAACGTCAACATGCTCATCATCGACACTCAACCTTACACTACCCGAGGAAGCAAGGACGCGCAGAAGAGGAAGAAGGATATCGGGCTCTACGCCATGAACCACGGCGACGTCTACGTCGCCTCGGTCGCCGTCTACTCGAGTTACAGTCAGGTGCTCCAGGCTTTCGCTGCGGCTGACGCTTTCCCCGGTCCGTCGATCGTCTTGGCGTACCTGCCTTATGGACAGGACGAGAGCGCCACGGCTTTGCAGGTCTTGAAAGAGACCAAGCTCGCCGTCGACAATGCCTACTGGCCGTTGTACCGATGGGACCCTTCGCAAGAGAACGTCGAGGGCGGGAAACCGTTCTTGCTCGACTCTGTCCGGGTCAAGGAGGCCATGAAGGATTTCCTCGACCAGCAGAACCACTTGTCGCAGTTGACGGCTGCCGAGCCCAAGATCGCCAAACAGGTCGTCGAGTCGGTCGGGATCGAGATCAGGGACGCTAGGAGGAAGAAGGCCAAGGAGGCTTACGAAAAGTTGATGAACGCCATGGACGGACCTCCTCTCTTGATCCTCTACGCCTCGGACGGTGGAAACGCCGAAAAGGTCGCCAAAAAGTTGGCCGCTAGGGCCAAGACGAGGGGCCTCGCCACCCGACTCGTCACCATGGACGACTTTGCTTTCGACGACATCAAGCTCGAGGGTCACGTCGTCTTCTTCACCTCGACCGCTGGTCAGGGTGAAGCTCCTCAGAACGGTAGGACCACCTTCAAGGCCTTGATGGCCGCTGGCGAGGGCGGGGAGTGGGAGAACTTGAACTTTACCGTCTTTGGAATGGGTGACTCGCATTACTGGCCCGGCGAGGATGGTGCCAAGTACTACAACAAGCCCGCCAAGGAGATTGACGGCAGGTTGGAGAAGCTCGGAGCCAAGAGGATGGCCGACATTGGATTGGGTGACGACCAGGACCCGGACGGTGCTCAGACCGGGTACAAGATCTGGGAGCCTCTCCTCTGGAAGGCTATGGGTGTCGACTCGGTCGAGGTCCTCGAGGCCGAACCCGAGCCGATTACCAACGAGAACATCAAGATCGCTTCCAACTATTTGCGAGGTACCATCCTCGAGGGTCTCGCTGACCAGTCGACGGGTGCTATCGACCCTTCGGACGCCCAGTTGACCAAGTTCCACGGGACTTACATGCAGGACGACCGTGATATCCGAGAGGAGCGCAAGGATCAGGGTCTGGAGCCTGCTTACTCCTTCATGATCCGATGCCGAATGCCCGGTGGTGTCTGCAAGCCCGAGCAGTGGTTGGCCATCGACCAGATCTCGGACGAGCACGGCAACGGTACTTTCAAGTTGACCACCCGTCAGACCTTCCAGTTCCACGGAATCATCAAGAAGCACTTGAAGCCCGCCATGCAGGCTATCAATAGGACCTTGCTCGACACCATCGCCGCTTGTGGTGACGTCAACCGAAACGTTCAGTTGTCCGTCAACCCGTCGTACTCGAAGCTGCACGAGCAGGTTTACGACTTTAGCAAGGCCTTGTCCGAACACCTGTTGCCCAGCACGACCGCTTACCACGAGATCTGGCTCGACAAAAAGCTCGTCGCCGGCGAGGCCGTCAAGGACTTTGAACCCCTGTACGGTCCTTACTACTTGCCCCGAAAGTTCAAGATCGCCGTTGCCGTGCCTCCCGACAACTCTGTCGATATCTTCACCAACGATCTCGGTTTCATCGCCATCACCGACGATCAGGGTGAGCTTGCCGGTTTCAACGTGACCGTCGGAGGAGGTATGGGTGTGACCCACTCGAACAAGAAGACGTACCCCCGTCTGGGAGATGTCATCGGGTTCGTCACCGTAGAGGAAGGATGTAAGGCGGCCGAAGCGGTCATGCTCAGTCAGCGTGACAACGGAAACCGAGCCGATCGAAAGAACGCCCGACTCAAGTACACCGTCGACCGAATGGGTCTGGCCGCTTTCAAGGCCGACGTCGAGAAGCGTCTTGGTCACCCGTTCGAGCCCGCTCGAGAGTACAAGTTTGAGCAAAACGTCGACAACTATGGTTGGATCAAGGGTCACAACGGCAAGTGGCACTTTACCATGTTCATCGAGAACGGACGTGTCGAGGACAACGATCGACACCAGTTCAAGACGGGTCTGCGGGAGATTGCTAGCGTGCACAAGGGTGACTTTAGGTTGACCGCCAACCAGCACTGTATCCTGTCTGACGTGACCGAAGAGGACAAGCCCGAGATGGAGAGGCTTTTGGCCAAGTGGAAGCTCGACCAGATCGACCACTCCGGTTTGCGATTATCCTCGTCAGCCTGTGTCGCTTTCCCTACATGGTCAGTCCTGGTCGTTTGCTTTGCACTCCATACACGTCACTAACGTCTCTTTTTTCTGTTGTTTAGTGGTCTCGCTATGGCCGAGTCTGAGCGATACCTTCCCGTCTTGGTCGACAAGCTCGAGAAGGTCTGTGAAGACGCTGGTCTGCGAAACGATTCTATCGTCATGCGGATGACCGGATGTCCCAACGTGAGTAGTTCAAGGACGGGAACATGGGAAGGTTCATGTGATTGACTCGATTTCGTCCTCCTTACAGGGTTGTGCACGACCGTGGGCTGCCGAGGTCGCCTTTGTCGGAAAGGCTCCCGGAACCTACTTGATGATGCTCGGTGGAGGTTACTACGGTCAACGACTGAACAAGCCCTTCAAGGAGAGCGTCACCGAGCCCGAGATCATGGACATCATGACCCCCATGATCAAGCGATACGCGCTCGAGCGCGAGGATGGCGAAAGGTTCGGAGACTGGACCATCCGAGCCGGATACGTCAAGCCGACCTTGTCCGGCAAGGAGTTTTACGACGACTCGGTCTTGGCTTAAGAGACGGTCGAGGGAGCAACGAGAGGTTACGTTTAGCATTGGTTTTGGTCTTTTTGGTTCTAAGCTCTTGTCATCTATCTTGTAATATCAACGCACATGCAATCGACGAACGAAAGTATTGAGAACGTTACGGATACGAACGACACAGTCGGGAAAGCCATTGACACACCACGCCGTCCCGAGTCTTGGCTTTCCGAATAGGATACCGTGCTTGCCACCTTCATAGCACTACCTTCTCCTGTCCACACCTGATCACCCAAGTCCGAGCTCTCTTGGACAACAAGAGGAGGTAAGCCAGTGCATTCGATGCCTTGAACCCCAATTGACGGCTCACTTGACCTCCCTCATCTGACTACAGGCTTTCGTCGATACACGAGGTTTCACTGCTCTTATGGGGCCACATACACTTCTTTTCGCGCAACCCCTCTTTTTTGTTCCCCTTGGATCTGCTCCGTGGTGCTTTACGAGCTCGAATTGAGGAAGAAGGGATTCTGTCATCATCGTCAACCACAATTCAGAAATCAAGCAAGCTGATGGCTGTTTCCTATCTCCGCGTCTCGTTTGTTTCCTGTTTCTTCTTCATGAACACACCGCTGACATGTGACTCTCATAGGTCTCGACGAACGTAGACCAGGGGAAGGCCCTCATTCAAACTTGGATGATGTCGCGCCCCTCTTTGGAGAAGGTCATGGAGCATCTAGGAGGACTAGGACTGATAGGGCAGTGAAGAAGACATTGACCGCCAATTTCCCTGGTGGGTTTACATCTCCTGCTGATATTCATCGTGGCTATGGTGCTGATCGGTTATACTTACTCAGGATGGAATTCCAAGAAGACTTTGGAAGAGGGAATAGAAATTGTCACGGATGTGACTCAAGTATCCCTTGATTGACTTCTTAAATACAAGACTGAAATGAGGCTTGTTGAGTGCTTGAAGGAGGATTGCAAGCGTCCAATAGGTGGGGAAACCGCAGATAGTTGCCAAAATCTACGTTGCTGATCGGTGTTAGTAATAGGTGTGGAGATGGAGAATCAACAAAAGCCTGGCCACTGGTGTAAGACCGGTGCGCAAGCACTTATATCCCGGACCCAATTTGGGGGAGACATAGTAGAAACCCCTCTTTTGTTCCCTTGGACCTGCTCGGTGGTGCTTTACAAGCTCGGATCAACAAACTCCCCTCTTCCACAATTGAGACAATTGGGGAAGCTGATGGCACATGGCAGACTCGCTTGGGTGACAGATCTAAAGGCAAGTTTATACATTACGGAAGGGCACAGGCATCGCTGACACGATATTATAGGATTGGCAGCTCAACAAGAGCTCTTCGTCAAGATTCAGTACTGGTACATGATTGCGAGCCTTCCATCCCACCCGCTCGACGAGCCCGCCGATGGTTTCCTTGGGACCGCTGATGTTTCTTTTGAGACCGTAAAAGACAAGGCAGTGATGCTGTGCAAGGCAAGGAGTTGAAAGGTTTGCCTAATTGATATTGCTTGGCGGGATTTCTCCGTCAATTTGGTGACCTATGAGATCACTCGGCTGGAGTGACTGCATTTATGGTCAGTGGTGACGTTCTCCTTCATTCGAATTGCCTCTTGAATTCAGCCTGCAATCGGACACAAGCAAAGAATGACTGGTTCTATCTATATGTATTTCCTATACAATGCCCAGAAGGCTCGTTTGTATACAGTTTTGACGCAATACTGCGCTCGCTCACTCTCATCATCGAGGAATCAGAACTGAAGGAATCCGAAGTCAGATCGCGGTGTAAAGAATCCATCGAACACGCGAGAGCTCACCTTGGAGAGATCCCGACCGAAGATACCTCGCTTGATCCAGTCGATCATTAGCAAGACCTTGGTTCGAACAGAGGATTGCTCCGACCAGTAGACACTACAATGTGTTTGGGCATCAATTGCCGTTCGCCAAGTCAAAGCCGTAGATACGCTCGGTACTCACGATCTCCAGGCGTACATCGCAACCAAGCCACCAGCAAACGAGTAACCGCCAAAGTCAAAGACGGCCCTGTAAATACCAGCATCTCGGTTAACGCGGCCGTCCAGGATCCGTTTCCGCTACGAAACGGCACTCACGAGTTTCCAACATAGGCCAGAGATCCCAAATGGTTGTAAGAGAAAGGTTTGGCATAAGCCTCATCGGGCTGGTCAGGCATCTCGTTGGCCTCCAAGGCCTTGAGGTGCTTTGAAAGCGAGCTGAACTTTTTCCCGAGATATGTTCCCTGCTGAGCGGCAACTTGTGCGGTCTGGGATAAGAAAGATTGAGTCAGTTGAATTGCATGAGAATGCCATGTGAAGCAGAAAGGAAGGCTCACGGCTGGCAACGAGGTAACCTTGCGACCAATCTCGTAGAAGGCTTGAGCACACTCGTTCAACGTAATGACGTTGTCCTTGTCCGTGTCGTAAGCCTGGAAAATTTCCTTTCTGAGTACGACAAGTCATTTCCAGAGCATCAGTCGTGACATTCAATCTAAGGACACAAATGGTCGACTTACACTTTCGTAAATTGAGCGCCGGCAAGGGGATAATTCTTCTTGATCGTCTTGGCCATTTTTTCCCACTCCTGGTAGCTCCTGCGAGCCATACACAGCAAAATCGTTAGCTGGTTCCTCCTTCTAAAACCTTGGACATGGTTGTTGCCCAGCCTCACAATTTGCTGTCCTTGTCGCTGTCAAAGTTGTCAAAGAGCTCGACGAGATGATCAACGAGGTTGGTTTCGACCTGAAGCATGAGAAAGTTCAGTCATACGGATCCACAAGCCTTACTACTGAAGCTGGACGTAACTCACCGTAGCAGCATCTCCGATACAGTAGACGGTTCCCAGGGGAGAACCCTTGACACGCAAGTGCTCGTCCACAACGATGGCCTTCTTGTGAGACTGGTTAGGCAATTTGTTGACCAAGGTCCGCACGAAAGGGTTCATAGCTGCAACATCGCGCCCAGTCTTTAGTAAAACCGACTGATAGACCACCTGCTGAGCGCCCACTCACCGATACCGGTACTCCAAAGGACGAATCCAGCAGGAATCTCCCTCTCGACAGGCTTAGAGTCCTTGTCCTTGGGATCTTTGAGCGTGACGATGACTTTGTCCGGGAAGACTTCCTTGACACTGCCATCCGGTCATAGCAAAATTATCAGCTTGATGCCCAGGACCACCGATGGAAATCTTTCCGACTCACCGAGCGTTCTTGACGACCTCGATATCCTGCCTCTCGAAACGTTTCTAGCAAACAGCACGATCCTGTCGTCAGCGAGACGCTTCAATAACGAGCATCCCCTCTTCCAGCTGCATACCTCGGCAAACTCGGAAATCTTCTCGGAATACGTGTTCAGAATGTGATCTCGGCTCTGGATGACCTTGACGCTCATCTCGCTCCTCAACAACTTGGGGAACTGCCGTATGGAGCCGAAGATCGATTATCAGTACGCGCAATCTCTTTGCTCATGACCCCTTGAGAACAGAGAAAAATGCAGAACTTTGACTCACGTAGGACAAGACGTCCTCGGACATCATATCCGCCAATTCGGCAGCGAACTCGACACCGGTAGGACCTCCTCCACAGACGACGAACGACAAGAGTTTCTTCCTCTCGACCGGGGTAGTGGTAGGCAGAGAAGCGAGTTCGAGGTTGGCTGCAGCAAGCGGGGTGAAAGGCTCAGCTGTGTGACTCGATGGAGACGAGGTCGATACCGTCTGTGAGACTCACTCATAATTCGACGACGGATAGCTTGAGCATCAGGGATAGTCTACGGACACGATATCGATTGACAGGTTGAATCAGCACGACACGGTCGCAAAGGTTGACGACATAGAGTTCCTGTTTCTTCAAAAGGCACGCACCTTGAGTTGGAAACAGTGTTCGAGACCGGGGACACCGTGCGTGTTGGTGGACGAGCCGACGGCGATGATCAGCTTGTCATCTGTCCTCCCATTCCACCAGGTTCACGACGATCAGCTCGATCCAGCTGCGTGTAACACGGGAACAACAACGCGACTTACAAGGCACATAACACCTCATCTTCCCGCCATCATTGTCCTTGAAGACCTCGACCTCGAGCAACCGTTCGCTCATGTCCACATCCACGGCCCAACCGGTCATGTAATGTCCACGAACACGGGCGATGATCTTTCGGAGAGGTTCGACCAGGGTTCGGGGTTCGACCGTCCCTACGCACGCACTGGAGGATGCCAAGAGGAAGAAAGACTCGTTCAGAAACGTCTGAGATCTGGTGGAGACTAGAGGAGAGGGCGCGGCTTACGAAGGTAACAACGGGGTGAAGAGGTTGAAGTTGTCGGGCGAGATCAGGGTTACGTTGTATTGTCCTACAGGGAGATCCTTGAGCACGCCGACGGCCTGCGGTTTCGGGTAAGCAGAAACAAGAACAACAATAATGTTTCAGTAGGTCGATAGGTTATGCCCAGACGCAAGAGCTCGACTCACACCCCATCCTCCACCGACGATGACGAGATGAGGCTTATCCACAAGCGCAGCCGTAAACTCGTCCTCCTGATCCGCCAGGTCCCTCTCGATAATAGGCAAGTTCTTGGGCCCCCCAACCCGAGGGTTCAGAGCCAATCCGTGAGCAGGGACCCGATCGACGTGTCGTTCGCTATAAGTCAACGAGTCGTGCAAGAGGATGATCCCGCCGATAGCGATGACTCCGAAAAAGGTGGATACGATAAATCGGACAAAAAAGCCCGTCCATTTGTAGTTCTCGGGGATGAAACGCGGAAAGGTGGGTAGCGAGAGAGACCGGGTTTGACGCAAGAGGTGTTGGTGGTGGTTGTGAGGGGTGAAGAATGGTTGACGCAGAGAACGGGAAGACGAGGAGAGCAACGGGTTGCCCGCGAACAGGGGTCGAGGCCGGTCAGTGGACGTGCTGAATCTCGATCGGAGGGCCAGGAGAGGCGAGGTCGATGCCTTGGAGATCGGTCGGGACGAAGAGACGAGGGATTGACGAGCTGCAGCGGGTAGTGCGAGTCGATGAGGGGTATGGTGGAAGATGCCTGCTGCCGTCATGGCCATCGAGCCGCGAGAGCCGAACATCGTATAGGGAACGAAGTTCGTTCGATCCGGTTTGCGACGAGAGGAGGATGGCTAGATGGTGAGATAGATCGCTATAATACGAAGACAAGTGTTGCGTGTATCTGATCTGTGACGATGTCATTTTCCCCCGAGGACGATCGAGAGGCGGCCGAGGCTCGGCTCTCTGCGCGATTTGGCTTTCTGATGACGTAGGCAGCCGTTGGCAGCGCTTGGAAGTCTCATCAGCCATCATCAGCCATCAGCAGTCAAGAATCGTCGAGGCCTGGTTGAGGAGATCATTTGACACCACTATCCAGTCCATCGGCAGGCAGACGATACGTGCAGAGATCAGAGACATGACTTGGTCGTCGGATTGCGTCAGTCGAACGAAACGCACAGATAGAAGAGCGCGCGCAGAGGTCGTTTCGTCGTGAAGTACGAGAGTTGAAACGCCGATGACTCTGAGATGAATGTTGACCAACAGGTCATGTCTATTGAGCACATGTTTAGACGGGAAGTAATTCACTCTCCGAGTCGCCGAACCCCAAGATTGCTGAAACGATCGGCAGAAGGCTCGTTAACCTACTTTACCGCTTGGCGGTATTTCAGCCAAAGACCGCCGCAGCTCAAGATGCCGACTCTGAAACGGGGACGCCAACCGGGAATTTCATCAGGCGCTCTTTAGGTGCGTCCAAGAGTAGCAACGTGAGCTCAAGGCTGGTGATAGATCCCAGGAAACCACCAGCAGTTAGGGGAAAGACGAGCCTGTACTCGTAGCCATCTAATCGATTATGTCACACGCACTAGCCCAGCTGAAGGAGTAACTCGCTGGATCATAGGGGTCCCGAAAAACAGAAACCACTTTTGGTATGATACAACATTACGCCTTGACTAGGTACAACACTGACAAATAGACAGGTCTCATACGGACCTCGCACCTCGACCGCAACAACGTATTATCATATTATAGCAATTCTTTAGACAATCATCTACATACAGCCAGGTCAACTCCTGGATTAAAGGGAAAAACATACACGTTTAATTCAACTTCTATCCATCGTCTCAACGGTCCGACGCAAACGCCGAGAAACCGTACAGTCCTTCTTCCCTGGCGATCATGCCCAGTCCGACCATGACGTTGCATTTATGGCTATGCCATCCGACCGAGCTTCCCACTTTCCCATCCGCATCCGCCAACGCCTGCAAGTACCGCCTCCACACGTGATCCTTGTCCAGGCCTCGTTGGAACCGATAGACCCGTCGGAGAAGCGCGGGGTCGTACTCCCTGACCCATCCGGCAGAGACGTCGACGAACCATCCTCGACCTCCCTTGGATTTGATCACTCGCCAGTCCAGGCTACCCCCGCTCCGCCCCAGGGCGCGACGGACGGTCTCGCTGAGCTCGATCACGCGGACCCGGGTGGGAGAGTCTTGATGAGGTCCTCGTCGAGAAGGACCGGACATGATCTTGAAGGGGGGCGAGGTGAGCGGGTTGATGAGTTTACCATGGAGGGTCATCATCGTATGCAGCGCGGCCAGGCTTAAGGGGAGGTCGGCTTGAGTGGACGAGTGCGTGAGGGTGAGGATCTCGACGTTGCTAGCCTTTCTCAGGATGAAGTTGGTCACATCGTCGAGCGGGAGGTGGGGGATATAACTCAGACCCAAGGATCGCAAGCCCGGTTGTACGGTCACCTCGTCGTCCGAAAGCATGGCTCCCGTGAGAGGTGCCGAGGAGAGATCGAGGTACCGCAGGTTTTGGTTCCGGAAACAGGGGGCCAGCTTCAAGATCCACTCGAGATCGGTCGCGTTGAGCGGCGAGAGATAGGTCATGTCGCCAAACATGTTGAGATCGACGATCGTGCTCGCGGCCGGAGCGTCGCACAAAAAGTTTCTCACGCTCTCGCTCGTCAATCGGGTGGAGCGTGCCAAGCTGAGCGCGACCAATCGGGTATCGGGCATCTGGCCCAGAGCTTCGAGCGTGGCGGGCGAGACTCGGGTAAAGGACAGATCGAGGTGAGTAAGTCCGGGACAACAGCCGACGAGCGTGGCGATGACGTCCCAGGACAAGATCACGCATCCTCGCAAGCTCAACCGTTTCAGGTGCTTGAAAACGGGCTTGACCCACGCCTTGTCTTCCTCTTCATAAAACTCGTCTTCCTCCTCGGCGAGTCGCAGGTGATCCTCGGCCGACAGCCCTCCGAATCCATGGACCGCTCGACTCCTCCCTCGTTCACCTCTTGCATCCGGATCGTCGACCATCGTCTGATCCATCTCGCGCTGACGTCGCCGCCGCCGTCGTTCCTTGGGATCGACCAACCACCTCTCGACAAACTCTTCCATCGCCTTGCCAAACACTGACGACACGCATCCGGTCAGGTCGAGCGCTTCCATCGGCTCGAACCCGTTCAACCGCTGTCGCTCCGACTCGGACTCGCCTTCCCGTACGAAATCGTAACCGCGTAAAAAGATCTCTTCGATGACCTCGACGGCGAGCGCGCTGTCGACGTACTCGGTCATGGCCAACCGTTTCAGCCGGGGCGCATTTCGGAGCACGTGATAGAGCCTCTGAGGCGTGACAAACTTGCCACGTACCGCCTCTTCCTGCGTGCGTCGAGTACCGGTGGTACGGAAATTGGCAAACGAGAGCGACTGGATTTGGGGAATAGGTGGAAGACGGGTAGGAAGCTCAAATTCGAATTCGTACTCCGGGTCTGCAGGTGTCATCTCGGGGACGTTGCTTTCCTCGTTCTGCGATTCCTGAGGAGCGTTTTCCAGGAACATGGGCTCATGAGCGGTCGAATCCCCCGCCCAAGGTGCCTGGGAGCCTAACTCGATCGGGGCACCAAGCGTAGGTAGTCCGTCAACCAGTTGCATCGACGACCCGCCCGTCTGCTCTCTTGTCTCATCAGTGGTAATGACCGCCTGCCCCGTGGCTGAGACTGGGCCCTGCTCCTGCTCGACCGCGTCCCTAGAGACGACCCCAGGTAGCCCTTCGACCGACTCTTGCCGCTTAGCCTCCCTATTCAAAATTTGCATCAAACTCTCCGCCCCGTCCGCTCCCACATCCGTAGCGTTCCTCCGGTTCTTGCTCCTCGAGATCGACGGCGACCTGGCCCGTCTACCACCGAGGACCGAGGGGGACCTTGCCCTCGCCCTTGCCCGGGACAGATCACGTTCCTTTTCCCAATCCCTGCGGAGTTCCTTTTCCCTCTCCAACCTCGTCTTGGGCCGGACCACGCCAGTCTGATGTGACTGGGACCGGATCGAAGATCTGCCATTGTTGGTCCCGTTCGGACCAGAGATCGAGTTGGTCCGGGATAAAGTACCTCCGTTACGGAGTACCATATCCAAACTCTCAAACTTGTTCTGCGCCTCGCCGTAATCCAAGTCGGGGGAATCGATAGCGGGTCTCATCACCCTGAAATCCTGATTCTCGATCAAGATCTCCGCCTCGGCATCTGGAGCTTTATCCTTGTTGCCGATGCCGTTAATGCTATTGAATCTGTCTCTCATCTTGCTCCTGGCCAAGCTCATCCCTCGGCTAAGGCTCAGCGAGGCCGCACGCGTGATCGAGGTCTTTCTGATCAACGACGGCGCTGCCCTCCAATTGCTGATAGGCGCACGGCGATCGTTGTCCCTCTCCCTCCATCCTGATGGTCCTTGATGAGGCGAAGTCTGCCTGGACCGGGACGAAGATGAGAGAGGCGACATGGAACCCGACACGTTCGTCTCCGGCGGGATGTTGGCAAAGTTGAACCCGGAGATCAACTGCGGCCCGATCGAGATATCACCGACGACGGGGGCCAAGATGGGCGGACCCAGAGGTTGAGGCGAAGTGGGTACCGATGTGGGGAACTGATGTGGCGGAGGAGCGGAATCCGATGTGAGATCCTGGTCGTCTTGATGGTGGTGGTGGCCCATCATAATCTGGTCCAGTTGCGGGATGACGGGAGCTGAGGTGGAGAGCATCTGCATGTGTTCAGCGACCTCGACAATCGGGGGCGAATGGATGTTGATACCGACGGCCGTGGCGTTCGAGGCCGTGTTGTTGTCGGTATCAGCAAAGTTATCGAGGATGGCAGGCTCGGGATTATGTTCGGCATGAGAGGTCTCGGGAGTGACGAGGTATTCGCTGAAACCGCTCTCCCCCGCCCCACTGGTACTCCCGACCCCACTCCCACTTCCTACTGACTCTTCCCTCATCGTCCCGATCGTATGCCCACCAGACGAGACCGTACTCAGCGTTCCCGCCGACACGCCTTCCAACCGCCGCATATGCGCATCATTGACGTACTTCTGACTAGACCTCCTGACCAACGACCTCGCCCTGGAAGCTGCCACGTCGTACCAGACCTCGCCGACATATTCCCCCAAGCCTTCGACGACGCTGATCCACCCTCGTCCTCCCTTGACGACGACATCGACCCACATCAACGCCTTGGCGATCTCGTAGAACCGCTTGCACGTCCTCATCACCGCGTAGAGCGACTTCTGGACGAGCTGGGCGTCGGGGTAGTAAGGTGTCGGATCGAGCAGCTCGGTACGGAGGTGGTATTCCGGGTCGACGTTGGCGTTGGTATTGTAATCATCATGAGGGAGAGAGATGGCCGTAGCGTGTGGCGATTGGATCAAGGGGTTGTAGTTTAATCGAGAGTTGGGCAAGAAAGAGAGGATGTGAAAAATCAACTCGGGTGGGAGGTCGATGATGGACACGGGTTGCCGCGGTGGTTCCTGATCGTGTTCCAGATCGACGTCTTGGTCCGTGATCTGATCCTGCTCCTCTCCACCCGAGGCGTCTCGTGCATGCGCATCTCCATCTCCATCCTCGTGAACGACGTGCTCTTCGATGTATTTCGTATCGATGGCATTCTCTTCAGGTCTCTGTTCGTAAGCAAACTTGTCTTCCGAGTGATCGACGTGTTCCATGTACCGAGGGTACGGATCGGGGGCGGTGGTTGTGGTAGGCACGAGGGTGTTGGCGACTCGAGCCATCCAACGGGGATGATGGCGGGGTCGACTTGAGGTAAAGAGGGTTGGTTTAGTGTGACAATGTCTGGGTATCTACGGATAGGTAGTAGGGGTGAGGTGTAGAGTGAAAGGTGATGCATATGATATGGTCTGGTTGTGATCCTGATGTCGATGATGAGCAAGCTACTACTACTGCCTGATCACCTGAACTTGGACTCGGACTTGGCGCGAAAAAGTTCGGGGGGGGAGCGGCAATGAATGATCTCGCTCGCATGGGTCAACTCCCATCCCGTCGGACAAGGCCGTCACATCCGATTCACTACTGCACAACTACGACAACATTGCAACCAGCATCGATCAGCCTCGATTGCTCAGCTTGTACATGGTTCGACTCCAGCCCAGGGGCCCTGACTATCAAGCCGAGTGGCGACATGGTGGGTCACTGTACACTAGCACACTCACTAGTACCAGGTGATCCGCTCGGTCAGGTGTCAGCATGACTACACTAGCCATGACGAGCCACGCGCGCGCGCCGAACTTGCCTCTCCGAAACGCCACCAGCTCGACTTGCAAGACTGCAAGGCTCCCATATCCGACGTCACGAGTCGATTGGCTTCTGCCAGTCCCGATGGGTCTTGAAGAGCTAAGCATGACCGTGATCGTATGAGTTCTTAAAGGCAGAAATCTAGACTGTGCAAATCGCTCAGGCCACCGGCAAGGAGATCGCCTTTCTAGGGAAAGACACTTCTACAGATGAGAAGGCCCAGGAGCGATCTGCGCTCTCCTCTTTTGGCCTCGAATAGCTCAGCCCATATGGCCCGTTCGTTGTTCGAAGCTCGTTAGATCGTATACTTGCAGTATTTCGAAGTGATGAAGACTGAGCATATAGAGGGATACTAACAAAAGATAAGGTAACAAGAAATTCGTCGCATCGTTGTTGGAATGGCAGAATGGGTCGTCTTGTTCTGCATCTCGCAAGAGTGACATCCTCACATACACATCGACGCTGAATGTACAGGGTTCTGAAGCAGGTGCGTCTCCCGGTGATCTCAGCTTACGACCCCCGAAGACCCTTTATGGTCGCCCGGATCCCGGATCGATGACGAGCCCGATGATATATATGTGTATCCGGCTCAGTCGGTTGTTATGGTTTCGGTTGTGGCCTTTTTTTCGTGCTCTCGTCGATCTGTTTTCAGGTGATCAGCGGGTCAGCGGCCTATCAGTTGATCTTACCATTTCTCTACTTCCTGTCGCTGACATTCCTGGTAGGCTCGATAGGCTTGAACACGGGATCGGCGCCTTCACCAGCTGGTGAACCTGGACCTTCTTCCGTTAAATTTCTAGACTATTTGAAAGATTCTGGTGACACCTTGGCTGCGTCGGATAATGTCAGTCCGGGGGACCTCTACGATACCATGGAACAGGTTGTCAAAGCAGCGCGAAGGGCAAAGGGTCACAAGACACTAACGTGTTGCTCTTGAGGAGTATTGGGCAGGTCTACCCAGTACGGGGTCAGCTTGACTCGACCCAGCAAGCAGTCATTGAGCGTGCAGCCTGTTTGGTAGTCTGTCGCAATGCCCTTGGTGTCAAAGCCGGTGTTAAGAGGAATTAGGTCTCCTCACAGCGGCACTCTATGTTCAATTAGCCGAGGCAATTGTAGATTCGACATGACTTTCTACAGTTGTCGATCTTTTTATTCAGTTGTATGCAGATCCTCTTTTGTCGCTGGTCACCCTTCCTACGAGACGAATAGGACGATAACCCTCCGATATGATCGGTATGGGGTATAGCTGACAGGTATATAGTCTCACGTTGCTCGACCGCATCATCCCAGGCCCGATTCAAGGGGCTACTCTCCCAGTATCGCCTACATGAGACGAAACCTTTACCTTCATCGAAACTCCGTTGCCTACAAGCAACGAAACCATTCGGCACACCAGTACCCTGTCAGGAAGCTAGCGGTCGCGACATCTTGCTATTTGCTACTCTTCTTGTAAGCGCCACGAAGACTTGATCGCGAACACGCGGGCACCTGACACGTCTCAAACCAATTCAACCCTAGCGCAGATCATGTTCGAATTGACAGAAGTGTAGACTTGTTTGATCGAGATGTCGAGACCAGATATATATTATGCATAATGGATACAGTAATGTGTCTCATCCACTTGAACCCTATTGCGCTTGAACCCTATTGCGTCTTCTGACGCCGCCGAACCCTGACCGGTAGACCATCCTTGATCGGTCCGGTCAGCCCGTCGCCGATCTCCCTCAGTGTCCCGGTATATTCATCATCTTCAGCGTCTTTTGTGCAGGCCGATCCAGCATTGGTGCGGTAAATGACAGATCCTTGCCATGCCGGCGAAAAGTCGAACCGCAACATCAACTCCCTCAAGGCGAAAACGAGTTCAATCCGAGCCAATTGCTTTCCGAGGCAACTCCTCGGTCCAGCATGAAAGACGGGAAATTCAAAAGCCGTCTTCCTCGCCGCATGATCTTTCGGTAAAGGCTGCCCTTTGGCTTCCGGATCCCAATAAGCAGGAGCGAGCCATCTCTCCGGTCTGTATTCTTCCGCGTCTTCTCCCCATATTCTCGTCGATCGTGACATGACCCAAGGACCCCAGACGACCTTTTCTCCTGGGTAAACCGCCGTCCCGTCTGGCAGGGCGATGGCTTCGTCCGTAACATTCTCGTGGATCTCCAAAGGGACCGGAGGATGTAGGCGCAAGGCTTCCGAGATGACCGCGTTTGCATAAGGGCAATACGCTGTCGGTGACGTGCTCGAGATGAGGTCGGCGAGTGATGTCGACTCGACGGCTTCGCGCGGTTGAACTGACGCCATGACCTCGTTAAACACGTTCTCTTTCGTTTTGGGGTTGAGAAGTAGGAGGTATATGGTCCAGGAGAGAGCTTGAGCCGTCGTGTCTCGACCTTAACGAATGCGGTAGAGGATGTATCAGCTCAGAAACGTTCGTCTGCCTTCGACTCAAGTCAATTCACCTGCGGTCAAGAAGTTGAGACAACTATCGGCCAAGAACCGCACCTGATCGTCCCGTCCTCTCTCCTTGACGAGCTCCTCCAACAAGATCCCCTTTCCCTGCTTATCCTTCTCATCCTCGTCCTCGCTATCCAGCCCTTCTTCTTCCCGTCTCAACCTATCCCTTCCTTCCCTGACGAGCTCATCCCCAAACATCTTGACGTCCCTGATATCCTTTCTCAAACGTGCTCCCGAGGGTAGAATAAATTCGGTGATCCGGTAAAGAGGGTTGAAGAACCGTTCGTGCGTCTGGATCGCCGCCCGGTCGAACGGTCCCGCGAACGAGGAAGATATCTTGCCGAAGTTCGACTACCGGCGGACACATAAATCCTCGATCAGTAGTGCCGTCGATGTAACCTGCTAGAAGCAAACTCACATCGTATGCCAGTTCGCCAAACACACTCATCGCGTAATCGTAAGCGACCTCTTGCAAGTCGACCACCTTTCCCTTATGTCCTCCCGTCTCGGCTGCGCTGTCCAGCTCACCGAAAAGCTTGTCCAAATGTTTCGGTAAGATCCGATCGACAAAATATTTCAGGTTGATAGGGTTCGCAAAGGCTGCGTGTCCGGCAGAACGTTGCACTTTCCAGGTGTTCCCATTCGTGAGGATGATGCTGTTCTTGATCGCAAAAAATCTATTAGCTCGTGCTCTTCGGGTTGGTTTACGGCTTTTGGCGGTAGCGTACCCATCACCTGTATTCCATTTACGCATCACCATAGGGGATCAACCTCGAGATCCGACAGGGAGACAGGGCGAATTGTACTAGCTCACCGAAAAGATCCGCCAGCCTTGAAGTTGCCAGCTCTCCCTTTGCAAAGGCATCATGCCTCGTACTCAGCACATGCTTGACGCAACTGCAAGCTCAAGCCAGGGCAGAGTCAGCTCTTCCACTCCCGTATCTTTGGTTCATATTCTTCAACTTTCGACTCACGCAGGATCCTCCAGCACCCAAGCCTGACCGATCAAGGGTAATTCCAACTTCCAGCTCTTGCCTTGATGATAATCCGAAGCTCTTTTCAGCCATTCCAACGATTTCTGTCTAGAGACGGCTGCGAACCAGGTGAAATGTCCAACCAGCGGTAGCGGTCTGAATGCCTTCCTGTACAGAGGGAGATTTTAAGAGGTAAGTAATTCAGTAATTAAGTAAATGACACGGAACCAGGATTTAGTAAAATGACACTCACGCTCGTTGGTGGTATACCGTTCTGAACAGTAGGATTAGGAGGAGGACGACCGCACCGAGCAGCAACATCTTTGGCGCGATCGCTGGCAAGAAAGCACCAACAGAATACTACTGTGGAAGGTCGATATGCAACACGCTTGCACTACTACCAGCTACTACATATAGTAGTCCAGGCAGGACCTAGGCGATCCTGAGCGATAGTTGATTAGGTAAGCCGAACCTTGATGACGGATGCGGTCATGCCCGATCCCCTTGGACGATCGACGGGGATGGACATCAGCCTCGGACAACGATGCGCTGTAACAAAGCTCACGTTCCGATCACTGCTTCTGCATTCTTACTTCATATTTGGTTACTTCTGTTTGATACAAACGAAAGGCTTTCTACACACGGAACGACGACAACAAACACAGTATCGAGACCTACAGAGCCTCTTGAGGCTCCCCCAAGTCGACCCCGATCTACTGCTTGCTCTGAGGCTTGTCCGACTGCTGGTCGTAAGGGGTCGAATCGACAAACGCATTGACGGTCTGCGCCGTAAACTTCTTCCTCATCTCGTGCAACTTGCCGATGAAGCCATCGTCGGAAACTTGGTTCTTCTCTCCACGCCACTCCTCTTCGTGTCTGTGGGATCCGTGTCGAGCATCAAGTATGGATGATCGATGATATGAGAGATCGGTAATTGTAATGGTCAGAACCGATATGATCAAAAGTCGATGAGAACTGGAGTCAGACAGCTTGAACTCGGGGACTCACCGGAGGATCAGGTTAGTAGCAGGATCACGGATAAAGGTGATCTGACTATCGGTAGTCTTGACGATCCCAGCCACTTTCAAGTGATACTCTTGCGACTGCGAGACCTGGAACGAAGGAGCTTTCTGCCAAGTCGCACACAAACCGGGAAATGATCTTCAGCTAACCTATCCTTGTTTCGAACACTCGCAGAATTGAAACAAGACTGACGATCTCGGGGTTATCCAGGAATTTCAGAGCTCGAGTGTAAGAGGCCGAGAAGATCTTAGGCATAGCGCTGGACGAGGTGGTAGAGAAATCAACCGTGTCAGCAAAACAAGTTTTCGCAAGACTTATATCCGAGAGACCCGGGGGCAACGGCAAGACTCACTTGAACTGAGCCTTGATCTCCTCGAGGTTCTGAGCGATACCGATAGGGTCGGAGAAGACCGCTTTCTGGTCGTAATGCTGGTAAGCCTGAGAGACGGGGTTCAATTGGTCTACATTAGACAACCATCACGAGCAAGGGGTCGAAATATCCGTTTAGCACCTTATGATCGGCAATACAATTCCTTGACCGAGCAGGCTCGACGTACAGAGGTTGAGAACGTCCTCCATGACCTTCTTCTCCTCATCAGTAGGCTGCCTCTCCGCCAACCCGAACTGAGGTCCACGACCCTCGGTCTCGGACTTCATGGGGTTGTTGGAGATATCAGGGTTGTTCTTGATATCCGGGTTGGTAGCCACGGCAGGGTTGCTGGTATTGGAAGGGTTGGAAGACATGGTTCGTACGGTTGTAGCGGTAGCTCGAAGTCGGAGTGTATTGGTGATAGTTCTAGGCAAGGCGCGTGTCAAGGTGAATGACATGAGATTGATTTTAGGTTGATATCGCAGAGCGAAGAGATGGAAAGGCAGGATGAAGGGGCGATGATGTGGCCCGTGTGTTACCTTCGTAGGTTCTTGTATTCCAGCTGCTGGCCACGGGGATCGATGACAGGGCAGGCAGGCAGGCAACGACACGCAACAGGGCAGGGGAAGGGGATCGGGGATCGGGCAACGGCCGCGGCCACGCTACAGTAGCTGACGTAAGACAAATCCGCGGATGATGTCATCAATTTTCCAACGTGTTTCATATCGGCTGACGGGACATGGAGACGAAACATCTCATCACATCGACGGGTACGGAAACCGTCACCGGACAGCTAATAAACGTCACGAATATTCCACTACTTCCCGGCAGCCTCCAAAGCAGGAGGCGCCCTTCGAGGCGGGAACACCGCCTCCCAAGCGGCCCTTTACGATCGCAAACCGCGCGTTAGCTTCGAAGTACTGCTTCACGAGCAGTCTTGCGTCTCCGCGAGTTTAAAATGGATTGAGAAGCGGACGACTCACATGAGCTGAACCAGAGTTCCCTCGCTGAAAGGTCTCCCAATCATGAATAGGCAGACCGGTTCTTGGATCGTCTCATCGAACCCTAAAGGTACGGTTACGATCGGATACCTACATGTACCAAGACTAGTCAGCTTCACACAATCGACGCACAAACGTCATGCGCTTGAGCATGTCGCACGTAGATCCACTCACTTGGCTGGAGATGCAAGCCAGATTGGGTCACGGTCTGAACAAGCCCGAGTCAAGAAGATTGCGTCCAACTGGTTTTCTTCGAATATGGCTTCCAATCCTTGATTTGCGATGCGCTCAACTGTGGGACAAGCGATGAACGGTGGGTGACGATTTTTAACATTCGCTTCTTACTCAGATCTTCCATAGGACACGGAGCGTTTCTCGGCTGAGGTTGACTCACTCTCGCTCAGAGCTTCGATATACTCCGGGTCGCTTTTTCCCTTCGTAGCTTGTGCTTTCAGGAAAAGGCTTTGGCCCGGGTACCTCGGGGGCATCTCGATGTCCTATCGCAGACAAAAGCTGTCAGACGCTTCCTCTTCAGGCCTCGATTGCGGACAAGGGAAAACAGAAATACCTTGTGATCGATATTGAACCTATCAAGCGAGCAATCGGACGACCGTCAGCGAAGAACCGCTCCAGGATGTCCTGACACCGATCGTTAGCTAGACTACTTCACTCACTGAATGACATCAGCAAGACTCTTCACCGAAGTCTTCTCCAAAGTCCCCAGATAATTGGCTAGATCCACCTTGAAATCGGTCAGAAGGACCAGATTGTCCTTCTTCCCAAACGACTCCGTATCGAAGTCCAATTCCTTCAAATCGTCGATCACGGTCGCTCCGTTTCCCCGTAGTTTGGTTACAGTGTTCGACATAAGATCCCTGTGGGGTACGATGTAAGGCATTTCAGTCCGAGATAAGCGGTAGCATGAGAAATCCCTGATACTCACCTGATACACGCCGTCTCAGCTCTGCGAGACAATGCACGGACCGACCCGGTCCTGTCAGCACGCATTCCTCGGGTGAAGCGCTTCGCTGATATACCACTCACTCGGAAGCAAGGTCCTCGGGCGATAAAGGGTAAATCCCGATTTTCTTGCCCTCGAAACTGGGATTCTCCGTAAGCTTGACATAATCGATCTCCCCCTTTTTGAAGGGAGATCGTTTCGCTAGTATAGTTCGCACAACAGGAATTCTAGTATGAGTATCGCCTCCCAGATGCGCCTCTGTGTAGCAAGGCTGTAGGGGACTGACTGTTCGCATCCCTCTCATCAGGTCCAGCAAGGATTTGCAGTAACAAGGCGGAATCGTAGGCGTTCTTGGTCATCGGACCAAAGACGTCACGGGTCGAAGTGAGGGGGATACCCCCGGCAGAGCTGATAAGCCCGACTCTGTTCGTAAGAAAGGGGACTGAGTCAGCCCCTGTCTATGAGACAATTCACGAAAGAACGCGACGTTCGGCTTACGTAGGCTTGATAGAGTACAATCCCTGTTTCATGGGATCATGTGTAAGGTGACCTGATCAATGAGTATAGCCTCGACCCAGAAACACCATACCCGCAGGTGATGGCGACGAGGAACGACGACTCACAGTCCGATCCGCAGGCATACAGATTGACCCGAAAGTCTCGCTGCCGATCGAAGCAGGTGAGAACCCAGCCGCAACGGCTACCGCGCTTCCGGTACTGCTACCTATACATTACGAGATCAGTATGCGAGAGTGAAGAAATCGATCAGCTCATATTCAATGCAAGGGCAGTTGAGTAAGAAGGAATCACAGTAAGAGAAGAATGGGGAAAGCAGACGCAGATTCACTTACCGAGAGCCGTCCTCTCCGGGTTATAAGGCGACATACAAGGTCCCCCTCTCCCGCTCCATCCATGATGGATCGCGTCTTTCCACTCATCAGATCCTGGTGGGTAGGGGTTTTCCTACACGGCCACAAAATAGTCAATCTCAATCGTAAGCTCCCAAAATGACATCTGGTTGGTCCGCGATCCGTCTTGCACGGCAGGATGTGCGAATCGGATTGGCAAGTCGAATCAAGACGAGTATAGGGTGGCTTACTTGTCTGAAATTGGCCCATTCGGTCATGTTCGCCTTCCCTATAGTCCCGATTGAACGCAGTAAGCGAGATATATATGAGCTCCGTTCCATAATTGAACAACTGGCTTTCGAGCTTACCTAAGATGATAGCCCCGCTGTCCCGTAGAAGCTTTATCACTGTCGCATTCTACAACCCCCAACAACCCCCCCAAACCCCGAGTACAGACCCACCGAAAAATTAACATCAACCTCCCGAACCCCATCCAACTCAAAGAACCCCGTTCCACGGAAAGAACCTATCCGAAAAAAATCCCGACTGACCTGCTTGACAACAGAATCCTCCAAAGCATAACTCCCCGCAGTGGTCTTCATCCCCAAAGAAGGTTCCGTCCCCAGGTTATCTTTCACCAAGATAGGGATCCCGTGCAGGGGTCCGAGAGGTTTCTATTACCGGTTCCATAATCACAATCAAAGGAGAGGTGTGAACTCAGTTTCAGCTTGAGTTCACTCAGTAGGTCTTCTTCGGGCGGGTGTCACATGTAGCTCGTTCGCCGAACACGGGTTGGTCCAGGAATGCCTCGGAACGGATCGGTTCAGATGCTCACCCCGGATGTCCTCTGTTCGTCCATCTCACGAGCGATCTGCAACAGTTGCTCTTTCGGAGCCGTCTCGATCACTGCATACAGCTTTAAGCCGTCCCTGTTGTTCTTCTCGATCGCGTCCTGTATTGAAGGATTTGAGGTCGTCCCGTTTGACATATAGGAGACAGGGCCGAGATGGAGAGAGGAGAATGAAGAATAATCAGCCTTCGAACCGGCAGATGGAATTTGGTAGTTTGAGTTCTTACGAGATAGATCTCGATCAAGTCCACGCTCGTGCATCTGTTCTCGACGAGGAGCACTTGGAGGTCTTTGATGGTCGCCGTGAGGACGTCGAATGGCGGTGAGGTAGTCATGCTGTTTGGAGAGTCGAGCTGTTGAGAACAGTCTTCGGTTCAGGCTCGTTGAAACGATAGCAAAAAGGAAGGCGGAGAGATGACTCTATATAAACGGGAATGGATGGATAGTTGTCAGTATACCCGCCATATCGACGACCCCCGGGTGTATCGAAATGGAACAGGCGAGGTCACGTTCGGAGATGGCCGATACCCAAGATTAGAAACCGGAACGATCGGAATATGAGTCACGTGATGTATGCTGAGTGCCGCAAGCTCGCACACGGATATATGGGTATCGTTTCGTGTGTCCGTGATCTGGTCGCTTGATGCCGCGTCACAACGGACCTCGACCCTCGGGATGTTGAAAGGGGTGGTTTAACCCTTGACACCTCTGGCTCGTGACTGAATTCCTCGCTGTTCAACAAAAAACTAGCCAAGTCATCGCACCTAGCTTATCCACCATGCGTCTCGTACGGACGTTCCTCTCCCTTCTCGCCCTCGTCTCCACCGCGGTCGAGGGGAGATCAGCGACGGGTCAACGAGTGCTCGTCATCGTAGAACACGCCATCAACCGGGCAGACTATTCGCAGTTCTGGGATAGCTTGCAAGGTGAGCTTCATTCGCCCTCAGACGATATGATTACCAGCTGATGTATTGTATGCTGGGTGCTGATCTTTTGTTTCTTTGTATTGTCATGTCCGGTGCAGCACGAGGCTTCGAGCTCACCTTCAAGGGACCTAAAGAGGAGACGCACCAGTTGGTAGAATATGGAGAACGGAACTTTGACCATCTGATCATGATGACCCCTTCGACGAGCTGTAAGTCCAGTCACATCCATCATCATTCTCGCTTCCCACTCCGCATTTCCAGATTCCCGTCTGCCTTTTGCACCTGGATCATCTGGCTTATACGAAATACACTCCGGTTCTTCTGGATATCAATATAGCCTTCGCGGACCACCTCCGCCCAATCCGGCTCCTCCCCACCCTCCTAGAATCGGGCATAAACACCCTCTTCCTCTCTTCCCCCAGCCAAACAGACGCAACCTCCTCCCTCTACAGGGAATTCGACCTGGAATTCTCTCCCTCTCAGACTTCCTTGCTCACCCATAACCCCTTACCGGGGAAATCAGGGAGTTATGTAGCGTTCGATTTGGAGGATGGACTGCATGGAGAGGTTCCTCTGAGCGTCATCCCCGAGTCGGTTCGACAAAAAGGAAGATCAGCATCATCAGGAGTGGGGAGGAAGATGGTCGTCCCCGAAGGCCTGACGCATACCCCAGGGTCCAACCCGTTCCTCATCCCCGTCCTCCACGCACCTCCAGGAACGTTCACCGGCGACCTCCCCCGTCTTTCCTCTTCCGATGATTCCTCCGAAGAAGATTACGACGACGACAACGAGAGGAGGACGAAGAACAAGTTGCAACAGGTCATCGCTGGGGAAGAAGCTGGCTTGGTTAGCGTTTTCCAGAGTAGGAGTAACGTGAGGTTCGGATGGGTTGGGAGTGTGGGGATGGTCAAGGACGATGTGTGGACGGCCGAGTGAGTTTTCCGTCGATCTGCGTATCCGGAGAATGGTTTTGCCATATATGCTCATCGACTATCTCTTTTCATCTCGCCATCAACATCACCACCATCTGCAACTACGTGTCTCTTCATTCACAATCAAACATTCACAATCAAAAGAACCCTGAACCCGGAATTCATCTCCTCCCTGACCTCCTGGATCTTCCAAGAGACCGGCGTCGTCAAGGTCTTGTCGACCGAGCACTACCGGATTCGAGAGGCCGCTAATGGTGGAGCTGAGGACGGGACGATCAAGGAGACTAGGGATCGGTTCAAGGGGTATACCGTCAAGGAGGATGTCGTGAGTCCCTCGCATCTGAACGCTCAAGCAGTCACGGCCAGGCGAACTGACTTGATGATTGTGGTTGGTCGTTTGATCAGACATACGAGATCGCTTTGGCGCAACACGACCCTTCTTCTTCCTCGTCTTCCTCTTTGAACGCCTCTTACGTGCCCTTCGAGATCGACGACCTCCAACTCGATTTCACCATGCTGGACCCTCACATCCGGACGTCCATCCCCTTCGCTGGCGAGGTGGTCACGAGCTCGGGGATACGAGCGGGATTGTACAGAAAGACCTTCCAGGTACCAGATAGGCATGGGGTGTTCAAGTTTGTCGTGGATTGGTGGAGACCCGGGTGAGTCGCCGTGAAGTGATACTGGCAACATCCGGACGTCCACAGCTAAATCAGCCTGCTATGCCCTGCCGCCCGTAGATACTCGTTCGTCCACGAATCGGATACCACCTCGGTCGTCCCCTTCCGTCACGACGAGTACCCACGATTCATCCGGGGCGCTTTCCCGTTCTATACCGGCGCCGGGTTGGTATCCGGAGGATTCTTGGTGTTTTGTTGGTTGTGGATGCATTTGGGGGTCGAGGGGGACAAGGTCGGGAGGGGGAATGGGGTGGAAAAGGAGGGCAAGAAGACCAAGTGAGAAGCAGCGAGTTCTTTTCTGAGGATGGACTAGATTAGTACTAGATGCTAGATGCATGAGCGTATAAAAGTTTGTAGCATTCTCGCTCTCGATGATGAGACCTACGGCATTCAAAGTATTGAACCCTCGGTTTGTGACTGTGGGGTCCCCGCGCGACGATGTGTGCATTTCCCTTTTGTTCGATGGATTCGAGCGTTCACAAGAGCGACTTTGTTCGAAGGCATTCAAGGTCCGGCCAGCTCCAGGACCAAGGGATCCTTTTGTCAAACTCGACTTAGAGCGGGGATTGCATAGATATATAGTAGATGCATGCTCTTTGACAGAGATCCGGAAAGCAAGGCCGAGAGACGATAGCAAGCACATACTGAAGAAGGATTGAAGGACTGACAACGCGGATCTTCTGGCAAGACCCTCTTTCCTTGAACACACAAGCAGCAAGCAGTGAGTCGACCCTTTGAATGGCTGACCTGAAGCGAGATGTTCGGCTTTCTGAATGACTCTAGTCTTCTGTAACAGGTATAGCGAACCAAATTTGAAAAGCATACACGCACGAATAACCAAATAATGTCTAAATCGACAATGTCAAACGGGAGCTCGACAGCTACCCAGCTCGCAGACCCCACCCTCACACACCGCTCCACCTCATCCTCTATCTCTACGTCTACTTCAGCTGCAACCACTCAACCGCTTCCCCCAGCGCACGTCTTCCAAACCTCTCCGTCCTCTTCCGGGCTTTCCTTGGAAGCTCGTCATTACAAAGCACATAACGATATCCCCAATACCATCCTCAGCGTTAGCATCATAAGCACTATCCTCGGTGGGATCCTCTTCACTTCTTTCACTCTTGTCGGACTCTCCCTGAGCGGATGCATCAAATCCGGCACAAATGGGGCAGAATGGGGGACGTGGGCTAGACCGCAGTTGGGGGTCTATTTCGGATGTATGGCCTTGTTCCACCTGAGCGAGTTTTGGACGACGGCAGGGTGGAACAAGGATAGGTTGTCGGTGGATGGTGAGTCCTTCCAGCCCCCCTTTCTGTCTTTCTCCTTTGTCTACCCCACCAAACATATATACCACGGCGGGAAAGAGCTAATACCATGCCTACATATCTGTCTTTATTTCCTTTTGGCGATGAACCCCAGCTTTCTTGCTGAACAACGGTAACGGCTACATCCTTGCGCACGTCGTCGGCCTCGTCGAATACTTCGCCTGGTCGTACTTTTGGCCGAGGGAAGGGAGCTGGTGGATAAGTTCCGGGTGGTTATACGTCGGTACGTCTCGTCTCGAAACAAGCTCGTCGGAGTCTTGTTTTTAGGGTGTTTTCACGCAGTGAGGTAATATCACGGGCGGCAGGCTGATCGGCTTCTATCCTGTTATTACGCTATACCTCCCGACGTCCCCCTCATCGAAATCCCTATGATACGACTCCAATCGACACACTGCGACATCACGAATACCGAAATCGAACGGGAAAACGATGAAACAGTCCTCCCCGTCCTCCTCGCAGCCCAAGCGCTGAGGACGCTCGCCATGGTCCACGCCGCCTCGTCCTTTTCCCACGAAGTCTCCCGAGGAGCCAAGGCTGATGATCATACCCTCGTCACTAGGGGTGTCTATCAGTGAGTGTGAACCCAGCTTACCTTTTCTTGTTCTCCTTATTCGACGAATCGAGTGGGATACAGGGCGAGGTACTGATTTACTGGTTTGACCTGATTTTCTGTTTGCAGGTTCTCCAGACACCCGTCTTACACGGGCTTCTTTTACTGGGCCGTAGCGACCCAAGTCTTGTTGGGCAACGTGATCAGCGTCGCCGGGTTCGTCTACGTCCTCGCCAAGTTTTTCGAAGCCAGGATCATCGGTGAGTGCCCCGCTTCTTCCTCAATTTCCCCCAGTAAACGGGATACTGTAGCTGAATGGAGTCTGATGTCTTGATCTGGGATCGCAGACGAAGAGAGACACTTGGTCAGGTTCTTCGGGCAGGACTATGTGGATTTCAGGAACAAGGTCGGGACGTGGTTGCCAGCCGGGTTGGTCGCCAAGGCAGCCCGATGAGATGAGGGCGAGAAGCAGATAGGCAACCAATCTCCACTTCAGATGGCCATGTTACCAATTACCAAGATGAAAGCTATTATAGTAGTAGTCGATGGAATGCGATGTGAGATTGCTTACCTGTGCAAGTTCCCATGATCTCTGTGTGTCTGTGTTTGATTTGTGATCTTCGTGCGCGCGCTAAGGGGAAAAGTCGAGGTTGATGATGGGAAAGATTACTCGAGCAAGAGGTGAAGTGCTGCGAAGCGAGGATTACTACGGGCAATAAGATATATAGTTATATAACAATCAGCAGGGCTGGAATCTTAGACCCATCAGCCAGGTCGCACATGACTCTGCTGCGATCACGATTCGGTTGATTGGCGGGCGGTTCGGACGTCATCACACCAGCCGATTCCTCTCGATCGGTATAACCAAACATGTCGACCGAATCTACAAAGACGGCACGAGATGTCGGATTGACCTCCAACGACGACGACAAGCGCCCCGAAGAAGAAGAGGCATGGACCGTCCACTCGCTCTCCTTGACGAGAGAGATCGCTTTCGTCAGCGTCGTCTCCGCCTGCCAGCTCTCTACTCAGAGCGGCCTCGGAATGGCCATCGCCCCGCTTCACATCATCGGAAACGACATGGGTATCGGCGGAGAACCTGCTTATCTAAGTTGGTCTCCCGCAGCATACAGCTTGACGGTGGGGACGTTCATCCTCATCGCCGGGAGGATAGGCGATCTCTACGGGCATAAACGGGCGGTCATCTGGGGTTGGGTTTGGTACGGATTCTGGAGCTTGATAGGAGGCGAGTCTGTCCCCTCCACTCCCGTCTTGATCGATAAATCCGGCCGAACCTCGATCTGACCTATCGTCCAAATATGCGGCACATATACAGGCTTCTCCGTCTACGTACACCCTCACCCAGACATCTTCTTCGACACCATGCGAGCCATGCAAGGCATCGGTCCCGCCTTCCTCCTCCCTAACGGAGTCGCCCTCCTCGGCCGCTCCTACCCACCAGGCCCTCGTAAAAACCTCGTCTTCTCCATCTTCGGCCTGACAGCCCCTACAGGGTTCATCGTCGGAGCCCTCTTCTCCTCCCTGATCGCGCAATTCGGCTGGTGGCCCTGGATTTACTGGGCAAACTGTATAGCCTGCTTAGTGTTCGCCGGATTGAGTTGGGGTTTCATTCCGCCGATGGACGGGTATAACCCGGAGAGGGAGATGAAGGGGAGCTTGGACCTCCCTGGGTGTTTGACGGGGGTGACGGGGTTGATCCTCATCAACTTTGCTTTCAACCAAGGGCCTGTGGTCGGGTGGCCGACGGTTTATGTTTACGTGCTCTTGATCGTCGGGTTCTTGTTCATGGGAGCGTTCGGTGAGTCGTACGGGTGTCTGATCGGTTCGGAGGCGATGACAGGACTGGAAGCTCATTCTGATCTCGATCATCCGTGTTATCAACGCAACGCCTTTGATAGTCTGGTTCGAAAGTCGAGCGCCGTACCCGCTCGTACCGATGAATAGCCTGACCCGGGAACTAGGCCTCGTCATGGCCGCCATCGGAGCAGGTTGGGGTTCGTTCGGGATCTGGATCTGTGAGTACAGCCGGTCCATGCCACACAGTCGGGAGCGTCAAGCTTATGCTTTTGCCATCATGTGTTCGTCGCCCCGCAGTCTACGTCTGGCAATTCTGGCAGATTTTACGAGGAGACTCTCCGCTTAAAGCTACGGCTCAGATGCTCCCCGTCATCTTCTCCGGAGCCTTTGCAGCGCTGATGACCGCCTTTCTCATCAGCCGGATCAGACCCGGTTTTCTGTTACTCGGCAGCATGCTCGCCTTTGCTACGGGCAACATCATCGCCGCGGTCACCCCTCCCAGTCTCAACTACTGGGCAGCGAGCTTCATCGCCATGCTCATCATGCCCATCGGGATGGACTGTTCGTTCCCAGCTGGGAACCTCGTCGCCTCGGCCTCGATGCCGAGACATCAACAGGGATTGGCGGCCTCGTTGGTGAATACCGTGCTGAACTATAGCATCTCGATAGGGTTGGGGATAGCTGCGTTGGTAGAGACGAGGATCAATCGGGATGGGACCCAGGTGCTGGAAGGGTATCGGAGTGCGTTTTATGTAGGGATCGGGTTGGCCACGCTGGGGATTGGGGTTAGTCTGGTACTCGTCTGGGCGACGAGGCCGCGGGCAAGACCAACACAAGCAGGGGGAAAAGCAACGATGGATGAACCGATCGAAGGCGTATCGAGCACGACCTCTTGATGAGCGTCCAGGAAAAACACACAGGTTTGAATCGATTCTTTACATGCATGATGAGATATAGATGCGCACGCCCCGTCTAATCGGTAATTGGTATCCAGAAAAAGGCACTTTTTCGTTTCGCCAGAGGCGAGACATTCCCACTCGTAAATTTACAAACCCGTTCCAGAAGTGACGAGGATCGAGGGACTCTACGCCCCATCGACGGTCTCCGCTCCACCCCGTCTCCCAGTAATCTCCCTGACTGGCCCAAACTCGCCAGTCCTCCCCTGTTCGATATCCTCATCGCTAAGCTGGTCCAACCGGTAAAGCTCTCGACGGATGAAAGCTACGATCTGGGCCAGCTGCGCGGGAAGTTTAAGATGATGAACCGGGTTGGACGGGTCAGACTTGACCGTGTCCTGCTCGGCTGGGATGGCGGCAGTGTTGGTCGTCGGTGTAAAGTCGGAAGGAAGGTCGGAATACCTCGCCGCAAACAAGTTCCTCCATACCCAGGCGGCCAGCTCGGCATCCCCTCCCTTGCTAGACCTCTCCCCAGCTGGGATCTCTGGCAAATCCTGTCCGATGGAGATGGCATAATCGAACCCGATCCCGGCGCCTTTCCACTGTTCCCCCATCTCCTTCATATAATTCCTGACTACCCGTTCTCGTTCGCCTTGCCCCAAGGTGACTCGCATTTGGTTCTCGGCGAGGGCGAAAAAGTGGGTGAGAAGTTCGGTCTGGTAAGTCTGGGAGATGGAGGTGCTACTTCGGCCTAGGGTGGTCGTGTTGGGCAAAGCACGGAGGCGAGGGAGGAGGAGGTAGAGGTAGACGAGGTGGAGCTGGAAAAACGTCTGATACGTCGCAGGAAGGCCGCATTCTTTGAAAAGAGGAGAAACGAGGCGAGATGAGCCATCAAGCTCGAGAGATCTGGGCTGAGCGAAGAGACGGTAGACGACTCACCTCCGTACCAGAAATCGTGATCCTTCTCGACGGCCCTAACGATCGACCCACACATGTTCCCCGTCTCCCTGATCGCCGTCACGCTCCTCGTGTTGTACCCCATCAACTTGGCCAACGCCTTGACGATGCTGACCTTGAACGGCGAGTGCTGTTGACCTGTCTGCTGCGTACTCGAGTTCGAAGGCGAAGCTTGAGGGGGAGGTTGGAAAGGGTTCGATGGAGGTGGGTAGACGGGACGGGGTTGAGGGAGAGGTTCGGAGGAGAGAGGAGGTTTCGTGGCATAGGTTCGGGCGAGGATCGTAGGTGACGATCGGGCGATCGAGGTCGCTTGCCGGAGGGCTGGCGATACGGCGGTTCTCAGTGACATTCTCAAGGTTGAAGAATCTATCTATCGACGAGGCAGATTATACGAAGTGTAGTATCTATGATGAGGCGATGGTCGGTGGGATGGTCTAGATGTCGTTGTACGGATGTGTCGATCCCTCCCTCTAGCTCGTTTGACCCAAAATCTCGATCGACGGGTTAGTTGGCGCGCACGCTTACGTAATATCGGAAAGTGAGATGATCGTTCACATTTCGGTGCATGCGTGGTGATGATGTCGACTTCTCTAGCTTTTGTACATCTTTCCGTTGTCATCTCGTCATTCATCTCCCATCCACGCCAGTGACTTGACACTCAGAAGAGCCAAGCTGTGAAGGAGCGCGGTACCATGACTTCGCTCGCCAACGACCTCGAACAAGGTTGGGTCAGGATCAACTCCATAGACGGTTACTCGTTCGTCATCCCGTAAGCGTCGTTTTATGGTACCGATATCAAGCCATGCTTTCCCTTCCCGAGATTATACAGGCTGACTGGTAGATTCATTCTGCGACCTACAGCAAGACGATCGCTTTCGGTAGCGGAGTAATCAAATCATCACTCGATGAATCAGGTCAGCCCAAACCTCTTCCTCGCCTTATTTCCTCTCCTCCTCCGACCTTATACTAACCATTTAATCCCGCCTCTTTGCTCAAACAGCCAACTTTGCCGAAGTAGCCACCCAGACGATCAAGCTCGACTACCGCGGGATCATCGTCGGCAAGATCGTCGAATACCTGCACTTCAAGCACGCTTACAAGGACACGGCGCAAAAGGAGATTCAGGAGGATTTCAGCGAGAGGATAGAGCCCGAGTTGGCGCTCGAGCTGTGAGTCTACAAAGTTTCCGGAGTTTCGCGGCTTGCATCTAACAGGGGTGTAGGAGCATGATGTATTCGACGATCTGGTAGCTGACTCGATCGATTCCCTTTCGTGTCACTCAACCAGCTTGATGGCAGCCGACTTTATCGAAGCCTGATTTCTTTGCTCTGCCCCAGCTCTGCATGTATGAGCCTGACGACCCCCTTTAACGACCGACCGATTGAACTTCGACATGTATGCCATACAATTCACACCACCATACTATAGTGGCTGCATACGATTCTTAGGTCCTGGCTAGACCCCACCAGGTTCTATGTGAGCCTCGTCGAATCGACTCTACAAGGTATCGTCCCCGTCCGCCCGATGCGAGCGGAAAGTGGTACCCGCAGCGAGTGGCGCCTCAATACAGATCCCGGGGATAACCATCCGGTCCGATCTCTTCTTGTTCATGTGCCGGATGGAGCGCTTCGACGGCTTTGATGAATTGTTCTTCCATCATCGTCGGGGGATCGATAAGGTGATGCTCGTGCTTTTGATTGTTGTGTTCGTCATGGTGCTGCTGCTGTTCGTGTGGATGATGATGCAATTGTGGGTCGTGGTGTCCGTGCTCTAGGCCTTGCTGGTGGTGGTCAGGCCCAGGGTCGTGATGATGGATATGATGATCGTGCTGATAGTCAAGCTGCTGCGTTCCAGTCGGATCATGACCTGAATCGAGCTGATGCTCTCGAGTCTCGTGTTCCGCGTGCTCATGCGCCAACGGGTCATGTTGATGTTGATGATGCTGGTGATCATGTCCAACATCGACCTCGTCCAGGTGCGTATGCTGGATATGACCATGAGCGGTTTCCATCATCAGATGCCTCTCCAATTCGCCCATCCCATCCATATCCATCCCGTGTAACCCGCCGAGACCCATACTGTGTTCCAACCCATAATCGACCTCATGGTCCAAAGCCACACCCTCTCGTCCTTCCTGTTCCTCTTGCCCTGTATCATGCTCTTCCGCCCTAACATCCTCCGCATGCTCATGGTCTTGTTCTTCGACCTCGTCCTGCGGATCCAACGCCTGGCCAGGAAGGACCCCGAGCAACCCTTCCAGCCTCTCCACCTCGCCGCGTAACCATTCGTTACCCTCCGTCAACCATTGAGCCAATGAAGCGCCTTTTTGTAGGATAGCGCTCTTGCTCGTCGTTCCCTGGTTGACAATGTAGATTCCTTTCCTCGGACGTTTGGTTTTGCTCGCAGACCCGTTCGAAGCTTCACCAGCTCCCCCTTCGCCTCCAACTCCATCCCCATTCCTTTCCCCATCTCCATCCTGCGACCCCGCCCGCACCCGCTTCCGACCCGTCAACTCTTCCATCCCCTCCATATCCTTGCTCTCCTCAATGACCGCCTCGAGTTCCCCCGTCCTCGGCCAAAGGGTATTCACGCTCATATGCTCCAACGCGCCAAGCTCTGCGTATCCGATACGAATAGCGTTCCGCCGACGTTTTTCGGAAGAGACGTGGTTGGCGCGCCTTTCGGCTTGGGATAGGAGCGTACGAGGTGCAGGGGGGGTCGAATTGGAATTGGCTGCAGGGTTCTGGCGGGGCTTCCGGGGAGCTCTAGGACGGGTTTGTTTAGATTTGCCGGCCGTATCGGCTGCAGGATCGGTAGAGGTAGTAGCGGTAGATGATCGAGGAGCTCTTTTACGAGGTTTCGAGGTCGACCCGGCCGCTGAATCTTGAACGGTCGCTGGTAACCTAGACGGCCCGGCTTCTGCATTGACGGTCGCCATTTCTTCCAAAGCAATGGTCCGACGTGTCCGAGGTCGATTCGGCGTTTCTCCACTGCCTACATCGTGTTCATGCGAGTGAGAGTGTAGGCTGCCAACAGGATCGTCGAGCTGCCCCGAATGCCCTCCATCGACCTCGACCTCTCCCTCTGGGTATCCGATACCTCCCTGTAAGCCCAACTCCCCACTCCCCGCTTGTCCACCGCCTAGTGCGGCGAGATCTTGACCCAGCTGCCCACCTAGACTCATGAGCAGCTGGACGTGTTCCCATTCGTTCCGAGGATGCTCGGGTTCCGCATGCGCAACGGATTGAGGAGCGAAATCTGCAGGGTTCGTCAGTGGATCCTGATCCTGTTGCTGTTCCTGCTCGACGTGTGTTGCGGGAGGCTGTTCCTGGGTGGGTTCTGGAAGGTAGTCGTCCTGGTTCGACTCGTCCGTTGTATGATGAGGTTCCTCATGTACACCATCCTCGGCACTAGCTTCTCCGTCCAGATCATGTCCTTGATGCTCGACATTCATGATCTCTCCACCATCCCCCTCATGCCGAGACACCTCGTCCTGCTGCTGATGCTCTTCCGGCTCGACAGGCTCAGCGAAAGCGCTCGACACGGCTCCCCAGAACAGGTTCATCTGCTCGTTGATCCCATCTCGCAACTCCTGATCGTCCTGCGGCCGAGATTCATCGTCCGTCCTCATGTCCGGGAGCTCGTGGGTGGTTCGGTATTCGGTATTGTCAGACGTCGTAGGCAGCATGTTTGACGAGAGATGAGTCGGGAGGACGATCGATTCCGTGTTGAGGTTGACAGGTTCTTCGTCCACATGGCTCATTTTCGAGCGCGATTTCGTCGGCCGCTCTGGTCCTCAGTATGACATCTAGATAGTCTCGGTTCTATAGGTATGTGACTGTTGCTGTTCGTGGATACCCGACTGATCAAGCAGCAAGTAGAAGGTACGAATTCAGTTCGGTGATGAGGATGATGCTCGAGGTGCGAAATTCAGAGGTGATCCTTTGCGTCGACCTTCTGATCGTCGAGCAAAGTGCAAGTTGATGGATCGTATTCTCATTTCCTCGTAGATGTATATCGATACTAGTACTCTACAGAACAGAACGTACAGAACCGTATACTACTACTGGCTACTGGTCGTGCGTTGTCGTTATTGTTATATCGTAAATTAAGTCGGGGGAGATCACTCGTCGTCGTCATCATCGTCGTCCCCGGCCTCGCCCTCGTCGTTATCGCCGTTCTGTTTTTCGCCATTAACAACCTCTTCGCCGACCTTCTCGCTAGCAGCGTCGCCCTTCTCGCTAGCAGCGTCGCCCTTCTCGCTAGCAGCGTCGCCCTTCGACTCGAGCTCGTCGACCTCCATCTATTACGAGAGCGACTGAAAATCAGCTATGGGAATGCGTGGAGAGAGTTGCAGAATTACCTTCTCGCCATCACCGCCACCGTCAACACCGGCCTCGCTCTTTTCCTCCTCGTCCGGAGAGTATTCAGCCTTGATCCAGTTGATGAAGTCTTTGATCATTTGAGGGCCTTCCTCGTACTGCTTGGTCTTGATATCCAATTGGGCTGGTGTAGATACCTCCTCATTATCAAGAAGCCGGATCTGGTATTCTGCGAGCCCGACGACATCCCAAGCAGTAGAGAGTTTTTCGAGGATGGCCTTGACGCCAGGAGCCTTCTTCTCGATCGTCTAAGGTGTTGATGAGGAGTAGCAAGAAGATTTAGTACAAGAATACTTCAAGACAGGGCGGACAGAAGCGATCAGGGCAGTGCGGTGGGGAATCGAAACGGAACCGCAAAGGGCTCGGATCGTGCAAAATCGAGAAGTAGCGAAGAAGACGATGATGACACTACGTACCTTTTCAATCTTGCCCCTCTGCGTAGCTCTCCACTTCCTAACCTTCTCCATCTCCTTAGCAACCTCTTTAGCCTTCTTGGCTTCTTCCTTCTTAGCGGCGTTGGCTACCTTCTTGGGAGAGGAAGGCGGGGTAGACTTTGCAGGCGATGTCGGGGGCGTAGACGGTTCGGGAGAAGGGGTACCGGCAACGGAGCTCATTTCGGAGGCTGTGGCGTGAAGAAAGTCGAGTAGGCATGAACGGTCAGTGAGAAGCTAAACGTAGCCAAGTCTGAGGTGGGGGGGGGGGGGGGGGGGGACTTGTGCTTACAGGACATGATAGAGTTCTTGATGTTATGTTTCCGACGAGTTGCGGTCTTTAAGTTTGGGTTTGGGAAGAGGATAGTACGAATGAATCTCCCCTTTTTCTCTCGTTCTCGTTCGTAAAACCGTCAAGTCTATATACCTTCTCGAGAAGCAGAACCCCTCTAGAAACCGATATCAATCGGCTCGTCACATGTTTCTCACGGTTCCAAGGTTCCGCCGTCATCGTTGTTGTTACGTTTGGTTGTCCTATTCAAAGGACGATCATCGTTTCGACGATCGTCGAAATCCGATTGTTCCTTTCGAATCGTAAAGGATTGGACTCACTTCGCGTGATTCTTTGCTTTTACGAACGTCCTTTGCTAGTCAACTAACATGATCGTCGGAAGCTCGATTTTCAAGTTTGAAATCACAAAAGGATTGACGGAAGTGCGACAAATGTTGATTTATGGTCATGAACGCAGTGTTTTCGGCTACATTTTGGTTCATGAACGCAGTGTTTTCGGCTACATCTGTGTGAGTATGCTACACGTCATTTTGGCTAGCCGTCTGGTCTTGTTGTCACCCTTCTCACATCCTCGACTCGAGTAAAGCGACTCCACTCGACTTCCTCTCGAGTCTGCCCTTACTGACCTCCCCGATAACAGCTCGCTCGACGTCGTCCTTCTCCTCCATGTTCTCGTGCCCAGCGAGTCTTTGTACTTCGGCCGGCGAGGCCCGCATGACGATAGGTGTATACGGGTCGGGTTTCGATAGGTACTTGGTAAACTCTTTCGGAAGACCGAGAGGCAGTTCATCGGAAGCTGTATGAGGTCGTCCATCTCCGCGATCCTGAGAACGTGGAACACCGAATGAGCGAATTGTGATGTGTGAGTCTAAGCGATCGAGACTCACCATGATGACATGTCCATCGGCATTGAGCACGACATCCTTGAACTGCGACCCATACCAAATCGACGCAGATCCGAACATCAGCTATTTATGTCGATCCGCCTTCTCACGCCCCGCCACAGACTCACACTCCAATCCCTCTCGACCCCGTTGACCAGATAATCCGCCCGACCATTCCAAACGCATTCATACATGCCCCCACCCTCGACGACAGGACCTTTTTGATCCTCGTGTGCGACTCCGTCCGGGATGAGACGTTTTGGTACGGGATTGGTCGAGTCGACGGGAAGCTCGGTTGTCGTCAGGCTTCCATTCGAGGTGCGGGTCGGTTTGCGGCGGTATAAGGAGGTGGTCGCACATCCGGCGGTGACGTGGAGCGATTTGTTTCCCGTAAGCTAATAAGGAGGTGAAGATAACATTGTCGAGTAAGCCTTCGTTGCAGATTCAGTGAGACTTGATCGTCACATACCGCTCGACCCAGAGCAATCACGCTATTTTGACAAACAACAAGGGTGTAAGATTGGTTATCCTGCCTCGACACAAAAATGTAAAAAACGCTCACTGCCCAACTTACCTGGCAGCATGAGCAAAGATGACGATCGTCTTGACATCCGGATATTCTGCCTCTATCCGGTTGATGAATACGTCTGCGAACTTCGAACCCGGACATCAGATCATCATCGTCGTTGATATCAGAAAATCAAGATCAGCCTTCATGTGTCAAGACGAACCGAGATCATGTTCAAACAAGACAAGACGGGACTCACGAGCTCTGCCCTGGCCAACAACTCCGACAAGCTCTCCCCGCGTTTACTAGCGTACACCGTCGATCCGTATTCCTGACAAAGGGGAGTTTGGGGGAAATGGGTTTGTAGTGACGCTGCCGAGGATGGCCGAGGATGAAGGCCCGTAGAATCGATCACGTTTGAATACCTGGAATGTTCCCAGATCGAATCGATACAAGGTAAACGACAAGAAGGAAGAACAGGGATGAATTACGTGGTCTAGAAAAGGACTTACCATTCCTGAACCCCGTGTTCTAATCTGACTTCCACGCCCAACTCCCTAGCCGTCGGAGCCGCCGTCTGGACACACCGATAAAACGGGCTCGAGAATACCAGTTCAGGAGTAGGGAGGTCTGATGATGGTCTTGATCCTTTTGTGGCGGGTTGGATGTAAGAGCTCGGATCCGAAGGGGAATAGGGGTAAGAGGACGGGGAAGAGAGGAATTTGGCTAGAGCTTCGGCTTGTTCCTAAGAATGAATAAGAATTGTGGTAGGGGATGTTCATTAGTACGGTAGACTGTCGAGATTTGGTGATATACGACAAGAAGCTCACTAGTCCATACACCGCCAGCTACACGAACAGCAAGCCCAGATCGTCAGCCCTGTTGACATTCCGCGAACGTTTGGTCGAGATCAAGAGGACTCACAGGAGGATCTCGTTCCAGCTTAGTGGGCCCGGTACTGATCCATGAACAATATATAGAGATATGCGGGAAGTTTCAGTCAGGGTTCAGCTATATTTCGATCACTGTGAAACGAGAAAGGGGAAGGAAATGCGGTCTCACACGATAGACTTGTCGATCCAGTTTGACCGGAAGCCGTGCCTGCAGACGTAGATTGTTTCGAGCATGCTTCTGTTTGGCTATTGAGCTGTTATCCAAGAATGCTAGGGTGTGAAATGGAGGTGTAGGTCGTGATGAGAAACCAGCATAAAGCTAGCAAAAGACGATGAAAGGGAAAGCTCGCGAGTTGTTGAAGTCGAGAAAGTCGCAACCGGAACAGATCGGGGATCGTAACCGAGAGAGTGTGTTGAAGGGATTACGTCATCGATCGACACTCTCTCTCTTCCCTCAAGCGCATGTTTCATAGCCTCGAACAATGGAATACAAGTTGCAATCAAACGAGAATTATTCTAGGTTTTATATATCTATATACAGGATCGCTGGAATAGAGAGCACCGTCTATCTGATATTTAATCGGCCTTCTTCGTCGCTTTGGTTCGCAGCTTCATCATCAAAAACACGATCGCGTAACTGCTGACCACAAAGATCCCGGTGATCCCGACATTCCTCCACCCGGTCGTCACCTCGGTGATGTTGATCGTCCTCAAGTAATCCGTTCCACTCCTGTACGAACACACTTGACATCCGCTGGTCGATTCCGGGTTGAGGAGGTTGGCACCGGGGTTGTACTGGGTCAAGAAGGTCTCCAAGTAGGCTCCACAAGTCTGACCCGAGGGCGGGTCAAAGTTGGTCAACTCGTCCGGTCGGCAGTTGACGGGCTGGTCCCAGAGGACAAACCACAGGATCGAACCCATGATGTACGTGAAGACGTCCAAATAATAGAGCCAGTACCTCCAGAACTCCGTGATTGCGGCATAGGGAACGAAAACACCGCAGAAGGACAGGAGAGTCCCGATGATCAAGGGCGTGAAAGCGGACGCGATCGTGGCGGTCGGAGCGTAACCTGCAATACGCAGCGCAGCCGGCGGAATATTAGCCCCGGTCATCTGTGTCGTGTTCCGTAAGAAGCTTTCTCTACGCACTGGCAATGAATTGTCCGATACCGGTGTAGATGAACTCGTACAGCAGTACCTCGAGGAAGACCGGTCCAGCCCTCGAAGCTTTGCTCGTAAATCCGACGGTAAAGTACCAAGAGCAGAAGCTAAATGAGGATCATTAGCTCACGCCGCGGCACAATCTTGCCCTGAGAACCTTTCAACTCACTAGAGTACCGCGCAGACCACCAAGTAAGGGAACTCGGAGACGATAAGCCCAAAGGTGAACGATTTCCAATTGTAAATCTTGGCCTTCTTTTCTCTCGCTTCAAAGATATCCCTTCGGCCGATGAAAAGCGGTTGGACCTGCGCAATGACTCCAGGGGCGACGAAGATGAAACTGAACACCGTAAAGACCTTGTTCTGTAGGTCGATGGTTCCCTCTCCGAGCATCCAATAAGAGAACCCGTTGAAGAGCGCGGCAAAGATGTGCAAGGCCGCCTTGTTGGTGACGTATTCGGTGTCCCGGAAGAGGGAAATACTGTTCCGCTTGTTGACGACCTTGCACTGTTCCCACAAGCTCGCTGCGAACTCCTCGGCCTGTTCGTCGTAAGCGACAGGCCGACTCAAAGCATCCTGTTCGATCGCTTGGAGTTCTTCCTGAACCGCAGCGTGTTCCGGAGAATTGAGCCAGATCTGAGACCAATCGTCTTTCCTCGACAGTTCGCCAGAGACGACGTCGATCATGTGTTCAGCGGGGTTACGTCCGGGCGGACAAGGCGCGCCGGAACGTTCGAAGTAATCTTTGACGGCAGAGGCTTGGTGACCGATAGGACCGTTGTAGACCGTCTTGCCTCCTCGAGCGAGAAGGAGCAGGTTGTCAAACTCGTAGAAGAGCGAGGCACTCGGCTGGTGGATGGTAACGAGAACTATTGAAACCAACGAGATGAGTCAGTTTCAAGCGTTCGCGCTTAACGACGATTCGGCGTTCAACTCACTGGCTTGACCCGCATCGGCTAGTTTACGCAAGAACTTGACGATCGAAAAGGCGGATTGTGAATCCAGACCAGAAGTGGGTTCGTCCAGGAACAACAAGATAGAGGGCTTCGCGACGAGCTCGACACCGATGGTAAGCCTCTTGCGCTGTTCGACGCTCAACCCATTCCCGGTGGTCCCCACTAGCGCGTGTTCGATGTCCCTCATCTCGAGCAGGTCAATAACCGTATCGACATAAGCCAGCTTTTCCGCCTTGGGAATCTCCCGGGACTGTCGCAGAACGGCAGAGAACTCGAGTGCCTCCCTGACGGTCGCCAGAGGTTCGTGTACATCGAGTTGTTCACAATATCCAGCGGAACGTTGGAAAGCGAGAGGTAGGGTACGGCCGTCGACGTGAATCTTTCCGCTGATCTCTCCTTCCGTCTTGCGTTGAGCGAGGACATCGAGCAAGGTGGTCTTCCCCGCGCCGGAACTTCCCATCAAGGCGCCCAGAGTTCCAGGTTTGACGAAACCGTTGACATTATCGAGCAAGACTCGGTCCCCATCGGCCGTCTTGACGGTGTAAGTCAGGTTCTCCCACGTGAACACGGAAGTATTCTTGATCAGTTTCGAATCCTCTTTGTTGTGGTTTGCTTCTTCCTTCGGGGCGACAGTCTCCTTGCTGTCCAGCTGTTTCTCCGGGTCATTGTTGTCATCCGTCTGCGCAATAGCAGCCAGGGTCGCCTGGTTTCGTGCGAATTCTATCTTGGAACCGCCCGAATCGTTTGAGACACTATAGGTCATCAACAGCGCCGCTACACAAGCAACCGACATCGTTAGCATTTCACAATAAAGCATCTTCGTGTTCAAACAGGACGTACTGATCAAGACGAACAGGAACCAATATGCCCAGATAACTCCAAAGTTTCGCCAGATGTGCTTGTGCTTGAAGCTGAGGTATGACAGGTAGTTGGTCCCTTCGACTGTAGCCCCGATCGATCCCGGAACACCCGAACAACCAGCCGGTTGACCGGCGTATTCCGGTCCAAAAGGTACCAAATTGTAACCTTGACAAGCAAAGTTTCTACCCTCGAGCTCGTTCGCCATCATGGCCTCTACGGCATAGAAGAGCGGATCGATGTAAATCAACCATTCGAACCAGGGATGCATCGAAGGTCGGTAGATGATGTCTAGAGGTGAAGTGGCGTCAGTCCCCTATACAGATTGTCTGTCCGGGTAGCAAGGGTATACTCACATCCGCTGTAAGTGAACAAGACCATGATCGTCAATCCGCCAACCTTTGAAGCATTGTTGAATGTAGAAAAGCTCGTCCCGATCATACGGAACCTGCAGCACGCGGCGTTAACGAAGCTCAATCAGAGGCGTTCCGACGATCGACAAGTAGCTTACAAGGCAGTCGCACACATCGTCGTGGCGAAAACGATCGCCCAATAGGTGAAGAAGGCTCCGGCATCGAGTAGCAACCCGGTCATGAAATAGAGGATGACTGAGAATAGCGTCACCTGTACCAGAATGACTGGGAGATCGCCGAAAACCTGCGCTGCCACGTATGTAACGGGATGGAAGAGGGCGAAGCCTTTCTGTTTCGCCAGCACTGCTCTGCCGAGGAAGCTTGCCTCGACCTCCTGCAGCGCGAATAGAGTATGATAGACCGTACTGAAGAAGATGGCGCCTCCCCTGATGAAGAGACCGGAACTGTTGTCATCGACCTGGAAGAAGAGAGAGCCCATGATCTGAGCCGAGTGTGAAACGGAACGCAAAGATCAATTCAGTATGTAGAACAGCATGTCGGGTTCGAGAACCTCCTTACCAAGGCTTGAATGATCGTGTTGCCTTGACGGATATAGAGGAAAAGTTTGTCGCCCCAGATTTGTCGGAATTGCCTTCGAGCGAGGATCATGACCTGATCCAGCAGACCAACAGTGAGGACAGAGTGCTTGGGCAGGTTCTTATCCTGAGCAAGCTTGACAGCGTCGACGAAAGCAACTGTGTTCTGAGCCGCCGTTTCCGACTGGGGATAATCCTGCTTGCTGCGCATGGTCCGATAAATTTCGTGGTCAAGATAAGCCTTCCTGATATCTTGGGCGGTCCGGGGAAAGGTATGCTCATAGCCAGGAGCGATCTTCCTTTCGGTCGGCACGGTCACTCCCGTAAGCATGTCGGCGATGTTCGCTCCGGCGGTATGCTCGAACCCAAGCTCCTCGAAGAATCCTCTAGCCTCTGCTCGAGGACCATAGTAGATTGTCAACCCCTTGTGAAGGACCATGACGTCGTCGACCAAATCGTAGATCCCATTACCGGCTTGATACAGAGTCATGATGGAAGCCAGGCCTAGCACGTCGGTGATGGTTCGAACTGCTTGCGCCCAGTTCAAGGCGGTCGAAGCGTCTAGACCTGTGTAGTCCCGGGTTGTCATTAGCTACAGATATCGATTTGGCAAGATTGTTTCCCAAACTTACCTCGAGTACTGTTGTCCCAACAGACGACAGCTGCACGCGTAGCAAGGGTCTCGATGATGGAAAGCCTCTTGCGTTCACCACCGCTCACACCTCGAACGTATTCGTTCCCGACTGCTGTATCCCTGGTGTGCGAGATGCCCATGCTCCTCAACAAAAAGTCCATCGTCTTTTCTCGATGTTCGATACGGCTTTGTTTGTCCTTCATGGCGTGTGCTGGAGTTTTGAGTGAAGTCGCAAACTCGATGGTTTGGCCAACGGTCATATGAGGATAGAAAATTTCCTACAGGAGTGGGTATGTGGAAATGTAAATACGTCAGCTCAGACCACAATGTCGGTTATCGAAGGTGCGCCATACCTCTTCTCCATTCATGACGATCTCCCCGCGGAAATCTTCCGCCTTCTCGTGGTCCATGTTGCCGTACCACATGTCCCCATCGATGGAGGAGTAGCCCTTTCGATCATTGGCGATCATCTTGAGCAGAGTAGTACATCCCGCTCCTGGACGTCCCAAGACGAGCAAGACTTGTCCTGGTCGGACACAACCGAAACAGTCGTCAAGAATCACTTGATCCCGCACGGGTCGTCGGCCCATCTTAATCTTCTCCGGAATGTTAAATAGGGAGAGAACGGTATCGTGCAGGACGGTCGAGCTGGCTTTTCCCTTCACAGTGAGGTTGTTCCATGTCACTCCGAGACGTTTGGCAGGGTAGCCTGCAGCCTCATATTCTTGTTTTATCTGGAGGACCTGTATGAGTGATGCGGGGTCAATATCGTTATTTAGCTCATCTCATAAGTTAAGTTCTACTTGTTCGTGGACTTACATCTTCTTCCATCGGCCATGATGACTTGATCCCGGAAGGATTCTCTGTCAGACTTGAGCTGTCGAGCTCGATATCCTCTTCGGTGCTAGGTGTATAATGATTGTCCAAGGCGGACTTGGTAATGGCAGGGTTCTGCATCTTGATTTCTGCAAAACCGATGTCTGTTTGACTTTCAGATCTAGATTCATCGTTCTTCCTGCTGTTGTGCTGCGATATGATAGCTTCTTATGTATGAGACTGAACGGGCCCAGCTTCGAATCGGTTTGATAGCAAATCCAACTTGTTAGCAAGCTGTCATAATCATCATGTATCCATGCCCGTGCCCGCGCCCGTCCAAACCGATCCGCGATCAAGGGCACGAAGCGCTATGCATCGATGGACCGCAACAACAAATCACGTGACGGCCTAGAGGTGGTCTGGCCAAAGGTAGCTCTCTCTCGAGTGCATCAGCAGCATGCATAGCTGCAGCATAATTCGACGTTGCAAGCATAGGTAGTCAGGATCGATGTCTGGGTGTGACGTTCTGTTGTCGCGGCGAGCAGCCGATCTTCGTCGTGTCGGTTCCGACAGTGGTGCCCGCTCAAGGCTCAAGGTATCCACCATGCGTGATATCTCGGCCACGTGCAAAATCCCCCGATCACCGTTGATCGCTCTCTGTATGACTCTTCCTGAGCTTCCTGCTTCCTGATCTGTATCGAGTGAAACCGCATCGAAGAATCGAGTTGTGGGCGCGGAGCTACATTTCCTCCGCGCTATGAGGCCGTTGCCGCAAACGGTAAAAGTCCCGAGCCAAGAGACGGGCTTGTCAAGCGCAAGCGATTGATAATATGGCCGTCTCAGGGACGGGCAACGGGACGTTCGGACGATAATCCATGGTCAAACTTGTTTCAAAGGCGAGAATGTTGAACCTGATGTTCAGATCGAACATCTGTTCTATCGATGTGCATCTGTTCCATCGATGTGCAACAACGCTGTAAAGTCGGCGATGGCGCACGGAGATTCGAGACATACCGGAACGACCGATTGGGGGTGTTGCTGTTGCTGCTGCTGTACCGGGAGGTCATGCAGAACCTGGACCATATGAAGATGTCCATCCACAAATCTGACCACTTTGTCAACCTTTATTGTGGTTGTTCCGCATTGTGGTATTGTGAGGTATATGAGAAGAGAATTCAGAATGCGTGGAGGGGTGTATGAGTGATCTGCGGGATGTCGAGGCACTTCGCCGATGAATGACTTCTAATTCGCAGTTCATTCAACGCGATCAGCATCTGACGCTGCAATGAGTCCATCACGCAACCCTGATGCAGTGTCGCCTCTGCTTGCCATGGTATATTTCATTGCATCCTCTTTTTGAACACCCTTACAACGCCCATACCGATCTCGAGATCGCCTCGAAAGTCGCCTTGTCCAACTGTCCGGCGGCCCGGCCAACAGCGAGAAAGTCGACCAACAACCGGTCCTCGTATCCTGCCAGGATACCTTGCTCCATCACGTCCTGCGCGTCATTCCAGCCCTTGAGACCCCTGACGCTGGCACCTGACCCGAAGGTCAATTGCCGGCGTTCTCCCATGAGATCGTCCGGCCCGTTTAAGACGCCTATCGTCTCGCTCAGGCAGCGTACCATGACAGCATAAGGATGTGCCGTGGCTCGACTGAGCAAGTGGATACTAGTGCTGAGGACAGAGAGTACGCCTACGGTCTCGCGCAGACGTGCCCGAGCGGGAAGGGACGCCACAAAGGCAAAATTGTAGAGGCAAAATGCCAGCTTGACTTGCACGTCCAGCATGGGCGGATAGTGCAACAACATCTTGGCGTCCTGCTCGTCGAACGCGAGATATTTGAGGCACGTCATAAAGACCTCCACGATAGTGTCAGCGTCTAATTGACGCAAGACCCTTCGATTGGGGTCGGAGCAAGACGTCTGCGTGAGGATCTCGAGCGCTAATACGGCCTTGTCGGGCATGTCCAGAGGATCCGCAGGTCCGCGGAACAGGCGATCACTGATCAGATCCGTCTGCGACCCTTTCAAATGCGATAGTGCAAGCTCGACCATGAGGCCGACCGCGTCCAGAGGTAGAACCCTCAGGTTTAAGCTGGAAGATAGGCCGTGAAAGACATCGAGAACGTCTTCCCGTATGCGAAGATGATCGGCCTGTTTGAACATGGCCGGTCCCTCGTTCTGGCTCCATACCGGCGAGACTGGTAGTGTCAGGCGCGGGTCGCAAACTCGAATCATGATCTCGACAACGCGTGCGTGCCGAGTCATGATGGTGTAATTATCCGCCATCAGCGAGAAATTTCGGAGTAAGCTGACCACCAGCAGGACAACCTCGACGCGACGGGATAAGTGGCTCTGGTCGGCGTCTGCGCGGCTGTAATCCTCCACTTGGGCTGATACGAGCAGGTCCTTATGTGGGGTCTTCCGGTTTTCGGTCATATCCAAAGGTCCTCTTGTCGTGGAAGAGATCGCCTGAACCTTTTCCGCCCAGTCCTTCCACCCGTCCTCCCCAAAGGCTTCGTCCTCGACAAGATCGACAAGGTCGTCGAGCAGATCGCCGCAGTGACCTAGCCCCAAACCACCTTTATCATCCCCCTTGCCTGGCATCGAAAGCATTCCGAGAACGGTCAAAGCGTAGGACAGCTCGGAAGGTATTCGCGAACGTATGCTCATCGACAGGGCTTCGATGTCGACCCTTCCCAAGTCCTCCACCATCAGCGCTTCCCGTGCCAGAGCGTTATCTCGATGTGCAAGCGCCAAGGCCTCGACGTCCCAACCACCATGAGCGTCCACCATGCGGCTGAGCGGTCTGTATTCGATCTTGTATCGTATCCGTTTCGGCAGCGGTTCGGGGGTCTTCTCGCGAGGTTTTGCCAAGTCGGACAGCTGAAGTGAATATCAAATTGAAGGATTAGACCGGTTAGATGCTGCCCTCATGCACATTGAGCTTACCTTTCGCTTGAGACCTAAACATCAAGCGGACGACATTCGTTTCAGCTTACATTGATTTTAAAGCGGCGGATTCGCACTCACCTGTCGCTTCTTCCTGACCATTCGAACCCGGTCCGCCTGAAGACCCGTTGAAGCCATTCACAGACACGCCGCTACCGCTACCACTAGGACCGCTTTCCTGATTCGAGCGAATCGACAAGGTCGGACTGGGAACCCCCTGTAGCATGGCTTTCGTCTGGGCTTGCAGAAGCATACGTTGTCGATGAGCCAACATTTCCCCTTCAGGTCGACTTGAACCTAGAGAAGAACTTGGTCCCATCTGCGACACTGTGGAACCGGCTCTGGAAGCCGGTCGAGATGATGATCCGGCCTGAGCCGCGTTTGCAGGCGTTTGATCGAGCTTGGCCGTCTCTTCGATGTCCTTCGCTGAAGACTCGGGTATTCCTGATGCCGAGTCATGCACCTGCTCGCTTGGATTATCCGAACCAGGTGGAAGATCACGTTTGGAATCGCCATCGACGTTTATCGGCTGGTTGGATTTCGATGGATCCCGGTCGTCGGTCGAGCCGACATTCCCGCTAGGTCCCGTTGAGACATCGCCTGCCTGTTGTGCCTGTTGCGAACGTCCCAACTGCTGCTGCTGCTGCATCTTGGCAGCCTGTGCTGCCTGAGCCGCCTGACCGATCCGCGATTGCTCTTCAAAATCGCGCAATACGGTCTCGTAGATGTTCAACAGCATCTCGCCAGGGATCGTTGTTGTCCTCGTCATCTGGAACTGCTGAGCTGAGCCTTGCGAGTTCCCGGAGAGTAAAGTCCATGGACTGGGCAAGAACGGTGGGAAGCCCCATGAGGCAGCCAATTTGGTCCAGCCGTCGATGGCTGCGACCTAGAAATGAGCAAACATCAAGTATCCTCAGACACATTTCCTTCCGATTTGGGAGACATGCATGCCCTCACTTTAGCACATCCTCCCATCTGCACGACAGTAAAATATAGCCTGAAGATGTCGACCTTCTTCCCGAAAACGTCTATCGCCCCTGCAGGCGTGGGCGTGGAGCCAGGAACCTCCGGGTCCGCCGGCTCGTACACAAACAGATTCGGCGGAGTAGGAATATTCCTTGCCGTTACAAATTGCCGAAGGGTATGTAAGAAATGGGCGGCGAACGCAGCCTGGTTTGGGTTCGTGGGACGTCGCTGTGGTTGTTGTTGTGGTTGCTGTGGTTGCTGTGATTGCTGCTGCTGCTGCTGCTGCTGCTGCTGCTGTTGTGAGCCCATCTCGTTGTTCGCTGATAAAGGTGTTCCTGATGCGTTATCTAATGACCGTATGCCGACCTACTGAGCAAAAAACACCTCGACCTGTCCAAGCGGAACCTCGACTCACCAGGAACACCTTGCTGCGCGTCCACCTTCGCCTCCGCCCCATTTCCAACGTTCTCCGTCCCGTTCGTACCTTGCCCGGCCTGAGCTTGAACCTGCTGATCGTGTCCACCCTTCTCGCCATTGACTTCCGTGATCAACGCCGGGCTGCTCCCCGCGCCCATAGTCGCATCAAGCGGACTATTCGCAACCGCGCTCCCATTCATTGCCATTCCAGCCGCTCCGAGCGGGTTGGAAATCGGATTATATCCAGGTGATCCCGCCATCATAGGCTGTTGGCTTCCCGAAGCGCTACTTCGTCTGTTCTGACTTTCTCTTAGAGCTTGCATCTGTTTTTGTATCGAGTCAAGCTCAGCATCCCTCGTCCCATTCTGACCCAATCTTGACGACATCGCAATCTACCAGGGAAGAAAGGCAGCAGGATAGGTCGACTCACTTGTCTCCTGATAGCCTCCATATCCATCCCAGCCGGCAACCTGCCCAATCCATCGAAGTGCGGTCCACTTCCACTTCCATTGCCGACCAGACCTACTCCCGCTCCAGGTCCTCCAAGGGCAAGCGTGTTCCCAGCGGGACTCTTCACGACCGAAGCCAACGCGGCATGCAGATCACCCCTATCAGACCCGGAGAGCTGACGAGGTCGGAAAGAAGGGACGTCGGATGGTCGGTTCGTCGAGTCTGATTCGGCTAAGAACACGAACAAGCCGGATCTCCCAGTCAGTAAAGGTTTGGCAAGGGAAACGTTTTGACGAGCCGACCACGAGGCTTACCAGGCGTCCCCCCGAGAGGCTGTTCGTTGAGCTGAGGTGTCTGATTTTGACCTTGACCGACCGCCTGGTCCGTCACACCTAACGATGTCGGTCCAGGTTGGAACGACATCGTCCCACTCTTCGGTGTCGACGCCCCATTCTCGACCGCCTGTACCAGAGTGGTCGAGTTCGGAGTGCCAGATTGAGATCCAGACTTCTGCGCTGATACCGACTCTGCGGGAGAGACGACCGGTGCCAGCGCTGATTCCGGTATGGAAGGTACTCCTACGTTCGAGCTTTGTTCGGCGTGTTGCCCGTTCTGAACCGTAGGTGTCCCACCCCCAGAACTCGGGTTTGATTGTTGATTCGGGTTCGGATTCGGATTGAGGTTGGCTAGAGCTTGACTACCCGCCTGGGCATTCGCATTCATCGCCATTCCCATCGGGCCAAGACCGGGTCCAGCACCAGGACCGGGTCCAGCACCAGGCCTTTCACCTGCCGACTCTCCCTGCCGCACCCCAGGCGCAGCCCCATTCATGTTCGCGTTCATGTTCATGTTCGCAGACCTCGCCTGGAAAGCCGCTTGAGCCTGAGCGGCCTGCCGTAAGAACTGTTGCAGCTGTCCATGAGTCTGCGGAGGTTGGATCCTGAACCGAGCGTAGAATTGAGCTTGCAAGGCGGGTGGGAGAGGAGAGTCCGGGTGGGGAGGTTGACGGGGTGTATTTGTGTTTGCGTTCGCATTGATGTTGTTAGGATCTGGATGTGACTGTGCTTGTGATTGTGCTTGTATATGTGTTTGTGGTTGAGGGGAAGATGCAAAGGTGGGTGTAGAGTTCGGGTTCGAGTTGTATGCGACATCTTGAGGGAGAGGAGGATTTGTCGACTGAGACTGAGTGGGCGGCAGTGATGATGGTGCAGCTATTGATGGTGGTTGCGAAGATGATATCGACGGAGGATTGGTATCGGCAACATCACCGGCCGAAGTGCTCAAAGGACGCAGGTCCGGTTGGTTCGATGTCTGGGACGCTGTCGCTATTGATCCATCTTGTGGCCTGTTCGCGATGACCTCCTCGACGTGACCGTTCGACTGCCCATCAACGGGTCCTGGCTGCTGAAGATCCATGTCCATGAATCTCTCTATCACTAGATCTCCAATGCACCGGAACCCCCGGACGACAAACGACTCTGAAGCTGTTTGACGGAGATGAGCGGGTGATCGACCCGGAGAAGAAGGGTAAGGATTGGTGTGAGAGGAGCGTAAGCAGCTGATGGCTGATGGAGCCTATTCTTGCTGCTCGGCGGGCGTCGTCATGCAGCCAAGTGATATTTAGCCGACCGACCCGGTGCGAGATCGGGGACTGTCAGGGGGAGGGTTTGTTGGTGGGGCACGTGGGTTGCGGGGATGGGGTTCCAGAGGAGGGAGAGAGGATTGTTGTCACTCTGCACTGCACACTGCGATCAGAACGGAACAGACGAGAACCGAGGTGCTCTGATGGCTGATGGTCGGATGGTCGACCTATCCCAAGGAAATCTCGCTCAAACGGGAAAGTCGCAAGACGCGTAGCTTACGCGAACCTTGGGAACTTGGACAAAAGCGTTTTTATCGCTGTATTCCATGAACCGTTTGATAGTCACAAACAAAGCAAACAACGATCACATGTAATGATTCGGTACAAGGTGTTCCATATCCCACGACCACGCACACGCACGCACACAACAAACACACGCAATCAAAACCAAGTCATCGAATTTCCGCTCAGTGGGCCTTCACCCATCCTCCCCCTCCTTGCAGAGTAAGGAGTCCGAGCTCGAACCTCTCACGTCCCAGACGGACCGAGTCGTGTTCCTCCAACACCCCCGATTCCAGACCCTGTTCTCTCCGTCCCCGTACCCAGTCGCTTTTCAAGAAGACAAGATCCCCGATACTCCCCGCAGACACGATCACTCGACCTCTCCACCCGAACGACCTTGCCGAACTTTGACGACACACGACCGAGATTTTTTTGTTTATGTGATGTCCGCCTGATTCATATACCGATCCGAGAGACGATTTCCGGTGTTCGTGCCTTTTGTGGAGACCCGAACACCTCGAATTCTCGATTCAGCTGTTACTCGAGCGACTTCCCCCGAGTAGAGAAAGCGAGGACGTTCTTCTCCCTGTTGTCTCCCTTGCCCGGTCGAACCTCGCAAATCCTCCCCTGACCGCAGCTCGTTTGGCTTGTATGACCCTCCGATCAGAGTACCGACAGGAAGACCCGGATACCAGGGTTCCACTCCCCAAAAGGGAGTCGAACCACACGGACCGCCCAGGACTTCCCCCCGAACCCCGACCGAAAAAGCCAGACCAACCGAACCACGGCCAAAAAGATGACCTACAGAATCCTCCCGGAGTCGAAAGACGAAAAAGACCGCCACCTTCCTTCCCTCTCGTTCATCTTTATCGTTTTTCAGGCGATGGTGACTGGGGAAGACGGGTAGGACCACTACCCCGTATTATCCGTCCAACATTTCACGCAGTCTCGCCGTTGGTCTTGTCGACGAGCGCGCTTGGCTTTTTTACCTAGACGTTTTTGTATGGTTGTTTTTGTCCGCTCGTCCTTTACGACGCCTGGATATCCTCGTTGGTTTCCGCTCCAGGTGAAACTGGGTAGAAGAGGAAAAGGGTCGTCTATTTCCGAGCGCCCGTCCTCTCCCGGAACGACGACGCTCTTTCTCCGAAGAGACCGAGAGACGACATCCAAGAGGAGGACGTATGTTGTCTTCTGTTCGTCCTGCCTTACAACTCCGGGAACAATCAAACCTCCCTGTCCTTCCCAGCCACGTAACGTCTCTCCGCCTTTTCAGCAAGGAACCGTCATGCGACCGGTAAGATCGGGCGAATGACCCTTTTTTTTGGTTCCCACTCCGTCCATGATGTACTTTGGACAAGAGTCGTGCTAAAGGACACCTCGCTCCCGCCTTTTTGCAATGGGGATGCTACGGGAGGGGCTACTCGGTGCGTCCATCGTCCGTTGACAAGGTCCGTATCGTTCGAAAAGGAAGAAGGAAGATGCTGAAGAAGACCGTTGAAGTAGAACCTCGTAATCAAGAAGAGGGAAAGGGATAGGGAAGAAGAGAGGGTCTAGATGCGGGTGTCTCACACCTTTTACTAGCTTTGGGCATCATTGCGGAGATGACTTGATGATACGTGTGTGTTTTTGTGCGTGTGTGTGCGTGCGGAACAAGAGAGGTGGATCAAGGGTCGGAAGAAACGATGGAACAGAATGAGGATGTCTGCAATTGTAAAAAAAGGGCAATCAGACGACAAGAAGGGAAATGGCCGCCTCGTTCGCACTCACAGATGAAAGAGAGGAGAGCCTCCGATACGTCTGATATCAGGCAAGCTACAGGGCCGACTCGAAGCAGGAGCTCCCCATAAGGTCACGACATCTGCATCGACGATCCGCGAACCAGCAAGGAAGCCAGCGGCGAGCTGAATCGGCGGCGGACAGCCGTCTTCATCTCCATGACATGGCATACCAGTAGCAATCCGCGTTATCCCGACCCGGTTCACCAACAGCGATCCAGACTGATATGGTGCTGATAGCAGTTTGGTTATCGAAATCGAAGAATTCCGGTTGCAGCTGACCTGATTGTGGCTGAGATCGAGCGTGGTCGAAGGATGAAGAGCAGGTAGACCCCTAGATGAGCTGTTGACTCGGGACGAGCTTCCACTCATCCGTATCCCTTGCTTACCATGGCAGACAGATGGCTTGTCCATTTGATCGCCGTCGAAGCGGGCTGATGACTGCTGATGTCGATTGACCGACTGATCGACTGATGAGGTCGAGGTCGGGAGTCGAAGTGGTGTCGCGATTGTGTGATAAGAACAGCGAACCACGAGCCATTTTCCTTGCTGACGTGTCAATTCTTCGTCCTTCGGTTTCCCGTCTGAAACGCGTTTCAACCCAAGATTGTGACGACCTGCCCCATAGTGTCGCAACAGACAGCTCGAGTGGCCTGTTCTCACATGGGAAGTCGAGCCTTAACAGGTTTCATTCTCAACGGCTTGCGCTGTCTTCTTGCACTGTCAAGAGGCGTACCAATGGCCTTCACAGAACAACGCCACGACGAGCCGAGAACGGAACCGACGAAGCGAGATCGCGATGATCCGGTAGTCTTTTCGACAACGTTTGAGGAAGATATGCACTACCCAGAAGATGAATGTCGACAACCAGAGAAAACCCACTTGAATCATATCCGACAAACATGGACACCCAATCACTCGCCAGCCAGAGCAGCAGCACAGGGCGTACAGCAACAAAGTACTATAGCCTCGCTGTTGGAAGTACCGATTAGCAAGGATGAACACGCCCTTACTATCATGAATAGCGCCCTGCTTCTCGACATTGCCCCTCGTGCTCACACAAAGCCGGCACCCCATAAGCGAGGCAAGAAGCTATACACCCACCCGGATCTGCCTCTTTCTCATTTCAAGTTTTTCAAGGTAAGCGAGGCGAGACTTGAACTACTTCGTAAAATTACATCGTGGTGGTCAGGATGAACGTGACTATGTTACGATCCTATTTGTAAGTGGAACATGGCCTAGAAGTTGCCGGTTCATTTTGTCTGGAAGGGCAGTCAGCAGGAGCAAACGCGTTGAATTGCGAACTAGGAGCTCATCCGTTCTCGATGTGGGTGGCGACGTTCATATTGAGTGCTGACCCGGTATATAAGTGTTGACGAACGGCCCACGCAGAAAACGATGATCAAGGACGCAGCCGAAGATAAGATCCTCAAGGCACCTCCAATCGCATACACCGGTACATCTAATCAACGCTCTTCAAGTCTCCTCCCGCTTTGAGTTTAAGAGCGGGTCGTCAAATGTGAGTCGCACAGTCAATCCGATGCCAACTTGTATCTTGCGACGCGGACAAGCGCCAACGACGACCGATGCGATACCGTAAGGTAGGCAATGCACCTATTCTTCCATCGAAGGATAAGCATCCCGGACACCGTTCTCCTCGCCCCACTCTGCTCGCTGTCAATGGGGATTAATGGGGATCTCATGTCGCTCGATTCTCAACAAGGCCTTCAAGTCTGACAAGCGGCCATTCAAAGTTAGATATATTCCTTTTTAGGGTGGATAGATGATGGAGATTGACTGTACCTATCGGCTGCCACAGCCCTAAGCCTTGCCCGACTTGTTCATCCTTCGAAGCTCGACCTGTTCAATTCCATCGTCCACATCTTCGTCCGCATTGAACTCGAGATTCCTACAAGAAGATTGACGTCTGAGCTTGCGGACAAACCTGCATTCGCACATTCGGGTCGGATCGGCTTCTGGGTCCGATGCAATAGCTCCAGATGACTTTTATGTCGTAGCAGGAACAAAAGGTCTGCGAGGCTCAAGACGATCAAGCGGGACCAGGTAAATGGATGTGTCATCGATGAGGGCCATATCAAGTGCTGCCGTAGTACTATTTCATCATTCATCTTGGCGGCTGATGATGTCGACAATGCTAATTATGTGCTCTCGGGTTGCGAGAGGATATCCATGCGCTCTCAAGCCAAATGATCTCTCGGGGAGTCGGTTTTGTGTGAGACGAGCGATCTCAATGATATTTCTGGTCAAAGATGAGACCAGCAACGTTGCCTTGCTTCTGAATGTCGAGCCAAGATGGCCGACTCTCGACCACGCACAAACTCAGAAGCACTCAGAACAACGCCACAGGAGAAAGACTGGGGCACGCCACGACGGATGACAGGTTCCTTCTGGATGTCCCAATCGCTAACCTAGATGATCGACTGCCGTCTCGTTATAGAACTTGTGTAAGAGGCGCATCATGGATTCGTCTTTCATTTCGTAAAGTCGCCGCGTCGAGTACAGAGTGGTATGGTGTTGTATAGAGGTGTGCGGGGAGCTCTGGCTCGTTCCGAGTTTCTCGTTGTTTCATTGCTTAAACGCTTCGACTTTCGCGTTGCTTTATTGCCTAAACGCTTCGCCCCTCATACAGAAGCCGATATACAACTGCACGAGCACCCTGATCCACAGACAATCAATGAGAGTCAAACACGTCCCTTCTGATTCAGATTCGGCCATTCAGCGCATACATCACTCACGATAACAAGACCATGCAACTGAACCTCCAGCGAGTGCAAGCGCAGCATTGACCCTTGGCGGCTTTGTCGAGTAGTTCGTGCCGTAGACATGCCATATACCAGAAAACCGTGAAACCGACTTCATGGCTGAAGATTAGCCTCACAATACAGTATCTTGCACGCGTTGTGGTACAGCTTCATGCGAAGCCGAATTGAAACGTACCCCAGAATTGGAGCAGTAAACACCAAATGACGGTCCAACCGCACTTGTTGCAGAGGTCCATGATGTTGCTTATAGCGAGGATCTCCGAGAAGATCTGGAGGATCCAGGCGGATGTCCACCATCTCTGAAGCTGATCGTCGGTGATACTGGGAGAGGCGGGCGGCGATTCGACATCGGTCTTGGTCGATTGGAGAGCATGTTCTTCGTCAACCCTGCCTTGAGACATGGGCGAAGCGGGAGGTTTGATGTAGTATACTTTTCGGAAAAAGTCCTTGAAGCGGACTATGGGAGACATTTTGGAGTATAGTGGATGAGTACAGGGTGCGACCTTTGCGCTGGGATCAACATGGTTGGCTTGAGATTCGGGGACATCGATAGCTTTTATATGTACTAGTAAACCGGGCGGGGGGTGATTCAACCCGCCTGCGCCCACCAGATGCTAGGATTCTCGGGAAAGCCTGATGTGGCGCTGGCGGAACTGGAAGGCCACGCCAAAGTTGCTCGAGCCGATCTCGATGCTTACGAGCAGGACAAAGAGGCGAGGAAGGCCGCTCAAAGGATCGACAGTGACGAAAAGAAGCATCTGCAGCACGAGCGTCAGAAAGCGTTCAAACGCGTCTATACCAGGAAGAAAGCGGCGGAGAGGAGAGCCGAGAGGCTAAACGGTGGTGAGAACTTGGGGGTTAGGGACGAGAACGACGGCGACGGTGATGATGCGCAAGGAAGCGAGATGGCCGACGATGAGCTGGTTGCCTTGACCGATGAGATGGAGGAGGACGATAGGCCGATTATGGGGACGAAGAGCGGAGAGTGAACCCATGGGTTATTATTAATGAGTGAGTCTCCTTTGAAGCATGGCCGGCCGCACGAGTACGAATGAGATAGCTCATATCTGTGTACCAGTCTTATTGCTACGCTTCACGCTCATTGTTACGGCGGAAGTCGCTAATGGGCGATAGATCCTAAGTCGTAAGGCGTAGGGTGCTTATAGGTAGATCGCAGGTAGTCGGGAGAATGTCGCAAGTTCGCTTAGATGAAGCGGGTTCGGATAAAGGGTACGAATCCAGAGATATATGGATAAGGAAGTGATCACTCGGTGTGAGGTACCGGATTCGGTCTAAGGTGAAACGATGAAGCGTAGATACTTAGCGACGTCCTTGAGTTGTAACCTCTCCGCAACACGTCTTGAAGATGTTGTAACAAGTCAGATAGGCGTGTATTGAATGTGATATCGGAACTTGACCTCTAACTATTACAGAGCGTCCTCTATCGAATTCGGTCAAGTTCCTCTAGCTATTTATATGGAGACGAGTACGGAGACGAGGCTGGCGAACACTGAAAAGACCCAAGAGAAAAGAATGGCGAGAGATGGCGAAACTGGAAGAACGAGATGGCGAACAGACGAATCCTGTCGAGAGCAGCCGGATTCGGTAGAGGAGGCGAGTTTGAGTTCTCATTTGTCCCTAGGTACGTCGAGTAAGGTTGTCGAGGTCCTGAGTAGAATGTCGTGTACCTCTAGGTCCCTGTACCTGTTTGTGATATGTGTCGGGAAGGTTTGTTGTTTCGGTGAATGGTGAAGGCGAATGGTAGGGGCGACCGAATCTGCTCCGAGGGAATCGGATTCGCCTCGTCGAGCCGGACTTAGGTGTATGCTGATGTCCGTAGATCGAGCCTGTGTGTCGGTAGTCGACTCACGTGATGATCCCGTAACAGTATATCCCCCTCCGGAATGGCGCGCCCCGAGCCATTGTGTTTCAAGTATTGATCGCATCAATTTGTTTGATGATTGTCTACGACGCGTTTGTTTTGATTTGATGGCGACCGATTTTTTCCATTTCGCTAAGGTCCATCGACTCGCGTCGAGTGGGGGGTATAAGCCGGATCCGTTTCGATTGAAGCGAATTATGTCCCTCCTTTCTCGAAGATACTCAACGATGCCGTCTCCTGACGTATCTCCCAAGATTGAGGAACGCTCGACTCTTTCTCGAGCCTCGACCGTAACTCCAGGAGACTCGGCGTCTCGTTCGTGCGATTCGAGTCGATTCGGTTCCTTTGCGTAAACTGATCCAATTCCGCTTTGTGTATAGAAGTCAACCAGGTCTTTTCCGGAGGAATTTTTGATTTCGAAGAACTCCGCAATATGGACGACACGGACGAGGTCGACCAGAACCTGGCCTCGAATATAAGGGGGCTGTCGGTGACCCGATCGGGGTTGGAAGGTAAGCAGATTCGGTTCCGAAAGGCGGTTTCGTTTCGCTGAACTTGTTGGGTTTTTCGCAGGTGGTGAACCGGCTCGTCGGGAAGGGCTCTACGGGGAAGCTCGTAGGCCGACTGGACGCCCGGTATCGGGCGAGGACGTTGCCATGACCGGGCAACCTTTAGATTCGGTCGACGAGGAACCGGTTGCGGGGCCGAGTGCGGGTGAGTAAAGCGAATCTGCTTGGATTCTGAATCGATAATTCGTAACCTGATACTATGTCTATTCTTGCTCGATTGTAGCTGTCGTGTCGCCGCCCAGGACTCCTCGAGGAAGGTCGATTCAGCGGAGTCGACAAGGACGACACAGCGCGAGGTCGAGTCGAGGGAGAGGAGCCGCCTCGGCGGGTGCGAGGGTCGATGTCGAGAACATCGATTTGGGGGGTGCTCTTGTGCGCCAACGGTCGGTGAGCCCGGAACCCGGTAAGCGTTTTTTGTTTGGTTTCTACCGGATCCGGTTCGACGAAGCTAATTTGGATAATCGCGTTCCAGCTCGGCCCATCGACTTCGAGGGCGTACAGCCAACTCGGCGAACGGGTGCAGCGCCCGCCAACTTCTTTGACGACCTGTCGGAGAAGAAGAAGAAGAAGAAGAAGGTGGTGACGTCCGAGGATGAGGATTCGGACTACCGCGACAGCGATGTACCGGGTGAGTCGCCCGACGCGTCTCCAGGGTCAGCGTACGAACGGCAGATCGAGAGTCGCTATCAAAGGGCGTTCGGGACTCCTGAAGTTGCTGGTTCGTACTCGGTACCCGTCGATCGAACTCGCTTCGCTGAACCAGATTTGCTTGATTTTAGCCGAAAGCGAGGGGGCCGATTCGATCATCGACATTGGGGACGAGAGCGTGATCAACATCGGCACGGTCGGCACTGAGGGAGACGAGTTGGCGTCGACCCCTGAGCCCGAGTGGTGGGATAGTGAGTAATATTCGTATTGTTTAAGCGAAATCGTTTGCTTCGAGCTAATCCGCTTTGTAGCCCACGCTGGTATCGTCAACGCTACCGACCAAGAGATCATCGATCACGAGGCGAGGCCCGGCGAGCCTCCTTTCTCGACTCGAGTTGGGACGGCCAGCGAGGTGAAGACCAGGAGGACGGTGGTAAGCTCGTTTCGCTTGCGTTTAAGCGGATTCGGCTAAATCTTGTTCGTTTCGGTAGTTGCAATCACGTCGCCTAGCTCGCGCCCAAGCCAAGGAGGGTATCGTGAACGACCCTAAGTGCGAGGACTGCGAGGGCCTCGGGGACGAGGGGTTGAGTTGGGGATGTATCTCCAAAAGGTCTGGGACCTTGAAGGGTTGTGCGGAGTGCACTGGTCGGCGAAACAAGTGTTCGCTTGCCGGACAGCCGATTCCGGAACCTCCCGGCCGAGTCCCCAGCCCCGACACCGCGGCTGCTGCGAATGCAGCACAACCGACTACTCCTCCGGCGACGAGTAGTCTGCTTCCTCGAGCTCGATGGGAAGCCCAGATGGTGAGTCGAATTTGTTTCAACGAACCGAATCTGTTTTAACGCAACCGAATTTGGCAGCAATCGGCCAGAGACCGTATTCAGGTCTACGCCGACATGCTCGAAGATGCGGGCATCAAGAAGGGTCTCTCGAAGGCCTTGGAAGACCTCGACAAGGTCCGGGAGGCGATCGCGGCGGAAGGTGACGCGGCCTTCAAGAGGGTTATCAACCCGTTGCCGGCGCCCACGCCCAAGAAGAGGAAGACCGGAGTCGTATCGACTCCGAAGGATTCGAAGAAGTCGGGGGGTAAGTCGACTCCGAAGGGCAAGGGGAAGCAGAAGGAAACGGATCCGGACGAGGACGAGGAAGAGGAAGAGAATGGTGGTCGCCCGCCGAAGCGAGCCAAGAAGGATTGAAGCGGTTCCGCTTCGTTTATAATTTGTTTTTGGGTTTTGTATTTTCTTTCAATCCGAGTCGTTTGATACGATGAATCCTATGCCAGTGAGAAGTCAGAGACGAGATCCAGAAGAGTTCAGAATATATGTTTATCCGTATCTCGGTCCAGCCGGGATCGGTTCGATGAAGCGGATTCGGGAAAGCTACGCTTCCCAACCCGGAGGCTTTGGCTTAGTCGGGAACCGAACATGGAACTCCTCTTGTGCCTCTGCTGTATTGTTGAGGTCTTCGAGGGGTACCCAATCTTGTCCTTCGGGTCCCGAGTATCCTTTCCATTTGATTAAGTACGCGAATTGGCGTCTCCTGATCCTGCTGTCGATAATCTCTTCGACCTCATACTCGTCATCGTGCGGAGATTCAACAATTGGTCCAGGAGTCTGTACTCGTCCATCAAATGGATTCTCGTAATGTGGTTCCAACATGTCGATGTGGAAGACGTTGTGAACCTTGAGTGTGGCCGGCAAGCGGATCCGGTACGCATGAGACGAAATCGCTTCAATGATTTCGTAGGGACCGTATCGCTTGTGATCCAGCTTCTTGGTAGGTCGTTTGGTTGCGATGTATTTCGATGAAACATAGACCTTCGATCCTACTGTGAATTCGGGAGGGTTTTGGTGTTTCTGGTCGAAATACTTGGCAGCTCTTTCGTTAGCTGCAGTCATCTGTACTCGCATCTGTTCCCAAACTTCTTTCATATCCCTGGCTTCGATTCTTGCGACGAGAGATTCAGCCCTGTGTTTGTCGAGACTGACGTCGAATCGTGGTTCGTAGCCAAAGGTTGCCATGAAAGGAGAAATACCGGTAGCACTATGCTTCGCGTTGTTGCAAACGAATTCGGCTAAGGGAAGCAGATTCGCCCAGTTATCTTGGTGGTAACTGCTATAGTGCCGAAGGAATCCCTCGAGAGACTGGTTGACCCGTTCAGTAGCTCCGTCACTCTGAGGGTGGTAGGCTGTAGTCAGGTCGCTCGAGATATCGAGGAGCGCGGTAAATTCTTTCCAGAATTTCGAAGTGAATTTGCTTCCCCGATCCGAAACGATCCTGTCGGGCAACCCATACTGCGTAAAGACCTCTTTGAGGAAGATCTTGGCTAAGTCCTTAGCTGTAGAGGTTGTCGTAGTAGGGACGAACTTGACTCGCTTGGTGAATCGGTCGGTAATT